AATTAACATAACTATTCGGAACGCTTATGTTGAGGAAAAATATCCTGGTCTTTTAGCTTAACAGTAATGCAGTTAAGCATTATTTTTAACATAAAAAAAACCCACACACATAGGGGCATGGTGTAGAAAGGATAGAAGTAGTTGGGGATGGTAAACACCAACAATTTGCCTTCCTTTTCAATCCATAACATTGCCGTCCATTCATAACCAAACGTCTTGAATGTTTGATGATATCGTGCATCGAGCAGGTATGCCGATCATACGCAGATACACACTGTTTTTGGTTTGTTTGTTTGTTTGTTTGGGTTTTTTTTTTTTTTTTTTTGCGTTATTCGATTCCACAATTTTAAACGAATTTTGTTGTCTACAAACAAGTTTCCCTCTAACTGACAATATATAATCCATAGCATTGTTATTAAATGTTTATTAAATTATTTGTTATTAAATATAATTCCCTACATAGCTTAGACATACATGGCAATGGTTTTGTCATAGAAATTAGTTTGCATCAATGTGTTTTAATTCAGTTGAATAACCTACATGTAGTATATATAGATGTTTGATGCTGTGACATTTTTTTCAAATTTCTATGGGTAAAATTTTCGTGATTTCAACAAACGTTTGTAGAATACATTATCCAGTAAAGTTATAAAGAGGATTGTATTTTCTTACTTGCAATGTATATATTTTTGCTGATCAATTCTCTCCTTGAAAATGGCGAAAACACGAACCCCTTGACAATAACAATTTTGAAGTATCACCAGAGAACTACTGGGGCACATATACGATGTGGTTCGTGAACCAGAATGTACTTAAAGTGAGACACGGAAACCCATGTATACGTTACATCACAGCTTGCTTCACTGCTTTTCTTGTAGAATAAGGTTTGAGTTATATATTTATAGAAAGATTTAAATGTAGGCAGTTGAAAAAGAACAAAGAAAATTAGAAATAATAATAAAATAAAAACAGGTGTCCCTCTTCGTCGACGACTCGTGCTATGTTATAGTCAAAACATGTATACTATAAGAAATAGCGTCAAGCTGTCGAACAAGAACAAGGTTAACAACAAAGAAACCGTTAGACATACTAACGAGAACTAGGATAACAACAAAGAAACAATCGGATATATTAACGAGAACTAGGTTTACAACAAAGAAACCATTAGACGTACTAACGAGAACTAGGTTTACACCAAAGAAATCATCAGGAATACTAAAGAGAACTAGGTTTACAACAAAGAAACCATTAGTCATACTAACGAGAAGTAGGATAACAACAAAGAAACAATAAGATATATTAACGAGAACAAGGTTTACAACAAAGAAACCATGAGACATACTAACGAGAACTAGGTTTACACCAAAGAAATCATCAGGAATACTAAAGAGAACTAGGTTTACAACAAAGAAACCATTAGTCATACTAACGAGAACTAGGTTTACAACAAAGAAAAAAAATAGATATATCAACGAGAACTAGGTTTACAACAAAGAAACCATTAGACATACTAACAAGAACTATGTTTACAACAAAGAAACCATTAGACATACTAACGAGAACTATGTTTACAACAAAGAAACCATTAGACATACTAACGAGAACTATGTTTACAACAAAGAAACCATCAGACATACTAACGAGAACTATGTTTACAACAAAGAAACCATTAGACATACTAACGAGAACTAGGTTTACAACAAAGAAACCATTAGACATACTAACGAGAACAAGGTTTACAACAAAGAAACCATTAGACATACTAACGAGAACTATGTTTACAACAAAGAAACCATTAGACATACTAACGAGAACTAGGTTTACAACAAAGAAACCATTAGACATACTAACGAGAACTAGTTTTACAACAAAGAAACCATCAGACATACTAATGAGAAATAGGTTTACAACAATACAAATAACACCAACGCTCAAGTAAGGTACAATTCTTTGTATTGTAAAAATTATCTCTTATAACTAAACAATCAATAACAGGTACTAGACTTACATTTATAAACTTTGGCAATCTTAGGGGCTACTCTGCATGTTTATTTCTAGACATTTTAAAATGACTGAAAATCCTGATCAACCTAGATACTGGGTGAGCCCAGCATGTTGTGGCTGTGTATCTGTGGCCAGGTGAGGCCACCAGGTATATGCCACTTAAAAGAAATGTCAGATAAACCATCAGGTTAATATTGAATACTAAATACATTAAGTAAATTGTGATTTATAACTGTAATAACTATATCTGAATTGGGGTAAAAAAATTCAAATATGTTGAATTGATAAGGCCAAAATTGAAGTATGTTGAAGTGGTAAGTAACAAACAAACAGGTAGCCCAAACATAATGAAATAGTCATGCAAAAAAACGATCAAAACTAAACTGCACTAGTACTATGCACATGTTCTCTCAACAAGTTCAGAGTCAACATAACACCACATGAAGTATAAATAAGTGTACTGAACATCACACCAACTTAAAATGGCATTCCGATTCAGATTCTTAATTAAAGGAAATAATATAAGATGTGTCTTACTCAGACATCCTTTACTTATAAAAGACTGCTTTCCATTAATTTAGCTATAATTATTATGTGTATAACCAAGAGAGCCTACTTATCATACTATACTGACTTGAATTAATTCTGATAGAGAACATTTAACAGGTTAGATAGAAAGAACTTCCAACAGTACATTTCTGTGACTATCTCACTCTGGATTTTCGATATTCTTTCTCCTGAACCAGTGAAATGCAACAGGTAAGACTGGCAAATAAACTAACTAGATGCATTGTGACCCTGAAATGAACCTTAAGAACAGATCCCCGACAACGAACCTGTAAAAAAGCACTGCAGGTATGCCGGCATGAAGTACTAATTCTATGAACATTGACCCTGAAATACAGAAATAAGCGAGTGAATCTGTGATATGGACAACAGGTAATACAGCTTGAACTTGAGCCTGAAATAGGGAAAAGCTATTGAACCTGTGATAATGCCAGCAGGTAAGGCAGCTTGATGTCTCGATCTGTGCTGTGACTAGACCTAAAAAACAGAATTAAGCCACTGAACCTGTGATGTGAAACGCAGGTAAGACGGCTAGCTGTGTTGAACTGTACTATGACTAAACCTGAACTATAGAATTAAACCACTGAACCTGTGCTCAGAACAGCAGGTAAGACAGCTTGATGTATATGATACTGTGTTGTGATTATACCTAAAATACAGAATTTAGCCACTGAACCTGTGGTATGAACAGCAGGTAAGACGGCTTGATGTGATGATCTGTGCTATGACTAAACCTGAAATACCGAATTAAGCCACTGAACCTGTGATATGAACAGCAGGTAAGACAGCTTGATGTGTTGATCTGTGATGTGACTAGACCTGAAATATAGAATTAAGCCACTGAACCTGTGATATGAACAGCAGGTAAGACGGCTTGATGTGTTGATCTGTGCTGTGACTAGACCTGAAATATAGAATTAAGCCACTGAACCTGTGATATGAACAGCAGGTAAGACGGCTTGCTGTGATGATCTGTGCTGTGACTAGACCTGAAATATAGAATTAAGCCACTGAACCTGTGATATGAACAGCAGGTAAGACGGCTTGCATTACTGATGCTATGGACTGAGCCTAGACCTGGAACTGGACTAAGGCAACCCGCCGTTGAACCTGTGATATGAACAGCAGGTAAGACAAGTTGATGTGTTGATCTCACTTTGACTAGACCTGGAATACAGATTAAGCCACTGAACCTGTGATATGAACAGCAGGTAAGACGACTTACAATATTGATGCTAAGAACTTAACTAAACTTTAACCTGAATTAAAGGAATGAGCTACTGAACCGGTGATATGGAATTGCGGGTAAGACAGCTTGATATTGATCTGTACTGTTGAATCACAGAATTAAGACACTGAAACTGTGGTGAGCACACCAGTAAGACAGCTTCATGTATGCATGATCTGATGATGTAGATAACTAAGACCCAGAATCAGTAACCTGACAACCTGTAACAGACATAAAGTATAGGTGCTATTTGTGATATACTACTGAAAGAAGGCACTGTATCTATTATGTGACAGCATGTTACAGAGAACTTAGGGACTTGGTATATATATTGATGATATGTCTATAATACAAAAATTCATATAATTGGAGGTGAATGGGGCTGGATGGTGGGTTTGTCGTGAAGAAAATGGCCTGCTGCTTCATCAATTTCTTTAAACCCACTGCTGTTTAGCGTCCCCTAATGAAGGGTCAGTGATGGTCACGTGACCTCCCCTAATTAATATAGCAGATGACGTCAGTATGCATATAAATGAACCTGAAAATGAACTTGTACATAAGAAACTAATCACATCACAATTTATATAAAACTTGACCAGACTTAATACATATAATTAAGCATAACACTACACTGTATATTATACAACATTTTTACCATATTTATAAACATGCCCTACAATGATGGTATACAGTTCTGAAGGTGTATTTGTATAAACTTAAATTAAATAAATTTTAATTCTATACAAATAACACCAACGCTCAAGTAAGGTACAATTTTTTGTATTGTAAAAATTATCTCTTATAACTAAACAATCAATAACAGGTACTAGACTTACATTTATAAACTTTGGCAATCTTAGGGGCTACTCTGCATGTTTATTTCTAGACATTTTAAAATGACTGAAAATCCTGATCAACCTAGATACTGGGTGAGCCCAGCATGTTGTGGCTGTGTATCTGTGGCCAGGTGAGGCCACCAGGTATATACCACTTAAAAGAAATGTCAGATAAACCATCAGGTTAATATTGAATACTAAATACATTAAGTAAATTGTGATTTATAACTGTAATAACTATATCTGAATTGGGGTAAAAAATTCAAATATGTTGAATTGATAAGGCCAAATCGATTGGAATAGAAACTATTGTGACTATTGCAAGAGAGCCCCCAAGAATGATATAGGTACCTCCATGAAGCTAATTAACTGGTACACATCTTATTTTGTGCCGCCTTGATGACATCATTTGATGTCCTAATGTATCGAGTGTAACAGTTGGATGACCACCTACCTAAAGTCTGTTTTAAATGATCTTCCACCCCGACCGATGCAGCAGTAGTAGCCGCTCCGATCCGAAAAGAATGCCCACAGTATTTCGAACTATCTATACCAAGTACAGACAAAATGTGTCTCAGATACGTGATAAAGTGATCTCGGGTGAGAACCGAATTGTTTGGTCCAACAAATAATGGAGCATCACCTGTAGCACCTCGACTCTGTCTAGTCTGTAAATATTTGTACATAGATTTCACTGGGCAAACAAGATGAAGATTGTTCTTAAAAATAGAAATCTTTACACCTTGTCTGAAAGGATCAGTTTTTGAACTTCTTAATATAATAAAATAGCCTGAAAAATCACTGGACATAATGATGTCTTTAATACAGAGTACGTCTTTATTAGAAGTATACTGATTAGCAGTGAATTCACCGCAACGTAAAAAACCAAAAAACGCCATTTGACAAGCGCATAACAGCAGTAAGTCTAAATCAGGGGAAAACAGTGACCCCTGTAATAAGTTGCACATGCGTTTTAAAATATCAAAAGTTATAGGAAAACGTTTTTGGTTTAATAAACCGCTTTGACACTTTTTAATACCCCGTAATATGCACACAAGTCTTTCTGACTGAAGTAACGGATTGCTCAGACCACTCTTAAGATAATGAAAACGGATCCCAGATAGGTATAATTTAATTGTGGCAACACGCAATCCTAAACTGAAGTGACAGTAGGACACAAAATCTATGAGGATATCCTCGGATAAACTCGGCAGTTGGCTAGCTGACCCCATCAATCCGCACAAAGCCGTAAAGCGGAGTAGATGTTGAATAGCCACAGCATATGTTCGCTTTGTCAGAGGACTCACTGCATAGTCCCATAGCTGATTAATTTGGTCTCTCCTAGTGTAAGTAGGTTTGATGCCGAAAGACATGGCGTTGGCTGTGGATCCGCCCATGGTGCTAGTCTGCGAAACTTTGTCATCTGGAATCGAGAAATGGCATCTGCTATAGTATTATCAATTCCTGGGATATGTTTGGCACGCACAGTAAAATTGTAATAAGCAGAAACTAAGGTCAATTTCCTCATGAGTTTCATGATAAGACTCACTTTAGACCTGCCTTTGTTAATGATATCCACTGTAGACATATTATCACAGTGAAAAACTATCCGTTTCTTTGTCCATTCCTGACCCCATAACACACATGCCATTACAATAGGGTAAAGCTCTAAGAAAGCCATCGAAATTCTTTCTCCTGCTATGGTCATATCTTCAGGGAAGCTTCCCTGGAACCATTTATGTCCGTAAATACCTCCAAAGTCCTTATCTGTAGCATCAGTATATAAATGCATATCCGCTGCAAAAGTATCAAAGTCATGAAGAAAAAATGATACGCCATTCCACTGTTTAAGGAAGATGAACCACATATCCATATCTAGCCTACACTCTTTGGTCAATTTAATATGATGATGTAACTCTCGGACTTGAGTGGACAAACCAATCAGATAGGATACAAATGCGCGGCCATGCGGTATTACACGACTTGCAAAGTTTAAATGACCTAGCAGACTAAGTAATTCTCTCTTAGTACATGACTTCCTGTCCTTGAAATCTACTAGGAAGTTACAAATACGATTTATCTTTTGCTCTGGAAGACGTGCTTGCATGTTTGCTGTATCCAAAATTATCCCCAGATATTCCAGATCTGTAGCAGGTCCCATAGTTTTGTGCTTCGCGATAGGAATGTTAAGTGTATCGAAAACCTCCAAAAGTTTGACCATAGTATCTTCAGCATTGTCATTAGGAGCATCGACCGTTAGAAAGTCATCCAATAGATGTAGCACATGATGGATTTGATATCTGTTTTTTAAAATCCAACAAATAGCAGTTGACAAGGTGTCAAAGATTTTTGGACTGGATCTGCTTCCGAAAACCAGTCTTGTATAAAAATAATATTTTTGACTCCACATAATCCCATGAAAAGGCCATAAAGATGGGTGAATTGGTAAAAGTTTGAAAGCATCAGAGATGTCTGTTTTACACAGCCAGCTATGTTGTCCTAAAAATTTTATAACACTAATAGCATGGTCAATAGTTACATATTGTAATGAATATTCATTCTTATCAATGAGGTCATTCAAGCTGGGGTTATTTTTGTCGTCATGTGGCGCTGACAAATCCACAATCAATCTCTTCTTCTTAGAATACTTTCCTTCAGCTATACCGATGGGATTGATTCTGTAAACTGGGAAAGGTATGGTCTCAAAGGGCCCGGCTAAAAAACCTTTCTTCAACTCTGAGTCTATCAGTTCCTGCACCACGTCTGGTTGAGTCCTAGCAGATAATAAATTTTTACATACAAGAGATGTTTCCGGTATATCTCTAACACCAGTGTCGAAACCCTGACGTAAACCCTCTAACAGATAAGCCACAAAAGTCCTATCTGGATGAGAGGACAGTTCCAACTCTAACATGTCAATATTAATAGGTGTAGACACCGTGGGGAGCCCCCCTACTGATTTCCCCTCTTGTGGAGGTTCTGGGGGGCCGAGTCGTTTTTTGAACCGGCGACGTGAGAACAGTCTCTTTTTGCATGGTCTTTTTGGCATATCAAACACACGTGTAAATTGTTACAATGAAATCTTCTACATCCCCTGTCATTGAAATTATTGCATATTTCCTTGCCTTGATGTAGTTTCTTAAATCTGCCGTGCTTGTCCATGTTGGTGTTGCTGTTAGTGTACCTTTGTTGTTGAGTTTTAGTTGACAACTGAGGGCAAAAACCGGCTTTGTGGCTCACGCTGTTACAAATACTGCAGCTGATGGGTTTGAGATTCGTGAAAATATTGCAGAACAGCGCATTGTTCCTAATTGACCAGTCTACTCTGATATTCTTGTACGTGAGATACGCAGCTGCTTTGGCACTAAATTGTTTATGATATTCATAGAAACCACTATTCCCATACCTAGAGGCCATGTCGATAATGTCCCTCTCATATATATCTAATTCCTCCCTCCTAGATGGAAAAGCCTGACACATGACATTCTTGAAAATGCCGAAGGCCTGAATGAATTCACCGATCGTCAGGTTTCTCTGTAGTCTGGGGTCAGGTTTTGATTCTGTGGTCCCGTTTCCCGAATTAAGAGGGCCTGTGAAATATGGTATTAACAGGGCCGCGAGATTTATGTCCTTACCTTCGACAATGTGACGACGTAGGGTTGGCGATAAAACCTCTACGAACGGCAGGGACTCCGCAGAGTAACCATGTTGGGTCCTGACGAATGAATGTGTACCCATATTTGGTTGAATCGGCGATATCTCGGACGTCTGCGAAGAGTGAGCGGCAATCGCCGTCTGTAGAGTAAATCTGGAACCAACCTGATGATCGTTGGTGAGGTACATATCAGAGCTGGACCCCTCACGGTTTGTAAAGTGGTGTTGACCCTGTATTACTTGTTGCACATTAGCGTCTCTGGCTGTTTGCACTGAACTTCCAGCTGCGGCAGCTGGAATCGGCCGGCTTTCCATCGAATGAATTCTGTCTTGTATAGTCTGCATCTCCTGACGGATATTGGATAACGAATCCGCCAATTGAGCTGAGATTGTGTCCGTGAATTTGGAAATGACCGACAAGACGCCATCTTGATTGTTTATGTCTCGCGGTGCATTCTGGGAGGTAGAGTTCCGTATCCGCCCAGGTGTCTGGTCATCTGTCTCCGTCACGGGCGAATGATCGTGTCCGGTGGCCCCAGTCCTGTTGTTGGTAGCGTGCCTTTTGTACAGGGCAATGAGGGTGTTTTTCTTCGAAGAAGAAGAAACTGTAACTCCAAGTTTAGATAGTTCTTGTTTGAGTTTAGCCGTCGTCCAGTTTTCCGGCATACTTAGGTCATAAGGCGTTGACCGAGAGTTATTTCTCGTACGTTGTTTAGGACCCATTATAACAACACAGAAAAACTTGTATCCCTGATTCCACTAAAATTGGATGATAAACGTATGTCCAGTAAACACGATTTGATGTCAAAAGATGGGCATCGTCCTCATGAAGTAATAACAGATCCCCGTAATTAAAACACGACGCAATAACCACTTGCTCGATATTCCCGCCAATCGGGTATACGTAGTCCTGGGGGTCCTCAGCAGCCGTAATCACGGGAGCAAAAGTTTCTCAAAGTTAATAGATCCTCAAATACGTAAGTTCTTCCCGCCAGTCTGAAGTCTCAGAAGTGTGTGTTAACTATGCACAATCGAGATAGGAACTATTTGTCGTGAAAAGTTCTTGTGAAACTATGCGTTTATAGTGACGAAATTTGTCGTGAAGAAAATGGCCTGCTGCTTCATCAATTTCTTTTAACCCACTGCTGTTTAGCGTCCCCTAATGAACTGACCATTGGTCAGTGATGGTCACGTGACCTCCCCTAATTAATATAGCAGATGACGTCAGTATGCATATAAATGAACCTGAAAATGAACTTGTACATAAGAAACTAATCACATCACAATTTATATAAAACTTGACCAGACTTAATACATATAATTAAGCATAACACTACACTGTATATTATACAACATTTTTACCATATTTATAAACATGCCCTACAATGATGGTATACAGTTCTGAAGGTGTATTTGTATAAACTTAAATTAAATACAAAAACACATAAGTGAAAGCGCCCTACAATAATTTAGAGTTAGATACAGTAGCGCCAAACAATGAATCAAACTGCATCATAAAGCTGTTTCCCCCATCCAGGACTTGTCAGCGATGCTAAAGGCTTAAATTTTGAAGTCTAGGAGGCGACTGATGAAAATTCAAAGCGATAGAAAAAAACACACACAAAATCAAGACGAGGAGGTGCAGCAGTCCCATAATTAAATACATTTCGTAACTTCAATATGTCAGATAATTTTATAACAACGTCAAGTACATGTATATAATAACATAATATTATATGAAAAAACGGTCCTGACACTAGCCAATAATTTTATTATTTACACAAATTTGATAAATACCAGATTTAGCTCATAGTTAAATATATGACGAATTCCACAAATCTGAAAATGAGTACTTCAGTTCAACTATTATATCACAATAATTATATGATTACATAAAATTCGAAAAAAGTAGAAGTTTTACTGGGTAAAGAAGTTGACTATAGTTCTGTCGACTTGGTTGTTACTAAGTGTTTATCTTCCCTTTTCCTTGCAGCAACTAATAAATTACCAACATTTTACCAGTTTGAGAGGTGTTAAGTATGCAGTAACGATGGATACCAACTTATATGATCTGTATCCATATGTTGTTGACCTATTTTTGCACTGTTATTAATACGTATTTAATCTTGTCTGCAAACTAACCGACGAAGGAAGACATTTCTTTCACAAGAGTTCTATCTGATTATAGTTACATATGAAATAAATCATGTAGCCGATTACCCTTTCTGTCGGTTGGATGCCGAAGGTCCTTATGAATCAGCAAACAGCATACCCCATCCCAAACCCCCGTACCTCCCAAAAGACAAAAACAAAACAAACCAAAAAAAAGACCAAAAAAAGGAGAAGAAAAATGAGATAAACAAACAAGAAACGTCCAATCGGTAATTGCAGTGTGTAATAGCAGAAAACATCCCTAGAAAATTGGGCGTCGATGCATCCCACTGGTAAAATAAATATAGTGTAATAAAAATATTTTGATAAAAATCATTAGTAACATACCAAAAAGATACTTCGAGAGTGCAAGCAAAATCCAGTGTGGGCCTCAGATAAGACAACTAGCCCCTAAAGAGATCCTAATTTCTCCAGTCATAGAGGGCGGTAACTTTATACAGGACAGAGGAACGAAGGTGAAGAGCTTAAACTGCGTAAAAGTTGTTAGGAATAAGGGCAAAATAGCTAAATTGATTAATATGTTGAAAAAGAACAGTTGAAGCTCGTGCCTGCCTGTAGCAAGACATTGTCATAAATATACGTGGCATGAAATGCAGGTGGTCATCATTGACCACTACAGGGCTTGTACATTTGGAGATAATGGGTTTCATTTTAATGAATAAATAAAAGTTTTTACAATATATACGATATATTATAAAGAAAGTTAAATGTTGTAAGGTTCTTGTTGGGAAGATGAGATAGAAAACAAAATATAAATTAAATTTTTAAACATTCAAAGATCAATCGCATTCATTGAAAAATCTTAACATTACAGGAAATCACACGGATCACTCTAAAGCAACTGCATGTATTAGAGATGTTCATAACAATCACATTTCATCTGTATTAGAACGTTCAATGCTTGATGTTTAGGAATCTTAATCAGAAAAATCCAAAATAATTTTGGCTGGAAATCCTTTAGTTCGCAGCTTTGACAACTTGTAGTTTCTTGTCAAGTTTCAGACGACCAAAGTTGCTCATGACAGGGAAAGCATTGTATACAGCACACATGAAGGGGGAAAAGTCAGCATCACAAAGTTCCTTGAATCCTGTGATGAATTCCAGGACAGTTGTGTCGCTCAATTCTGGTTATTAATCTCCGTTACTCTCGCTTTGATTGGAATGTTCTTGGGTTTTCTCTTTCGACTAGCCTGGCGGAAAAGTGTTTGGTTACGAGTGAGTTGTCGACAACCCTTAGAGCATGAAATATATCCATGTGATATATTCATATCATACTGCGACAAGGACACTAAATGGGTAGCAAAAACAGTGGTTCCGTGGTTAAATGAAAAGAACATTGAATATTGCATTGATGAAAAGAGCTTCAGTCCTGGCCTGCATATCACCGATAACATTTTGGAAGCAACTGACAATTCACGTCAAACCATTTTTGTTGTGAGCTGTTTTTTGGAACATAGATGGGTCATGTTTACAATGAAATTAGCCAGCACTTATTCATTTCGCAATGGATTATCATTATTCTGCTTAGCGACATAAAGTGTAGTGAGTTTCCTTGACTCATTCGCATAAACTGGGACATAATTCGTCCCCTACATTGGCCAAATGAAAATAACACCGATCAGCGCCAATTTATTGCTGCTATTCAAACGGTTGCTAAAACGTATTCAAAGAGGAAACGATCGTTTTATAACAGAATCAGCTTCTGAATTAAATGTGTAGTTTGGCCAGGTTTTGTCTTGACTTATTACACACAGCCGCTTAACAATTAAATAATCATTTTTGGCTGAAAAATATAAAATGTGAATAGAATCCTACATTCGTTTCATTACATATCTGAAGTATGTAATCCGTTGTAAATATTTTTCTTTCATCTTGCCTTAGGTTCGGTATAAGATTTGTTTGTTTGTTTTTGTTTTTTTTTTTTTTTTTTTATTATTATTATTATTATTTTCCATGAATCCCAATTTAAATGACAACTCGTGTAATGTACTCTGCATAGAAAAGATGAAATATCAAAACTTTGTTTCCCCTCTGAAATAATCATAACCCCTTTTCAAATCATTGATTACGTTTAGTATTTGCAGCGTGCAGTGTCAATAATCAAGGAAAGTGTATGTGCTGGTGATGAAACATCTTCCAACGGTCAGCTGGCATGCCCATGGGAGCAGACTATAAATTTATATATCAAAAGCTTCGAAATGCAAAGCACAATGATTTTGTCAAGTCCTTCAAATTCACTTTTAGATATAAATATATTGATTAATGTCCATAAATAACATGGACGATTTTGTTGGAATTTATTTCTTTCTTTTTTTTTTAAATAGATAACTGGTTTCACATTCTAAAAGTAGGTTGTAGTTTTCAGCGACTATCAAGGGTCCGATGAAGTTCTATTGACACAATCGTCTTATTCAGAATCGAAATGATATATTCAATAATAATATATAATATTATATAATAATAATATTTCAAATTTACTGATTATCATAATCAGAGATTCTTTTAACAATATTTAATCATATTATCGATGGGACATAAGTTTATATCAAGGGAACAATCCTACTGTGTTTTGAATTTGCGTTGATCAGTAAAACACAATTTCAATGTTCTAATACTACCGCAAATTTCAAAACACAACAGACTGTGTGGTGGAATTGTAATCGATATAGTCCTTGACCATGTACTTCGTTGTATTAGATTCCTCAAATTTACCGGAACCCATAACTCTACAATATGTTGATATCTTCATTATTTGGTGAATCAAACTGTCATTCAAAGTTTTACTGCTGTTTTAAATACTATTAAGTCAAGGTACAAAGTACAAATAAAGAAATGTGGATGTTGAAGACATTGAACATGTGAGAAAAAAACATCTGTGACGGGGGAAGTTGTGTGGTTGTCATATTGATCTAAATTGGGATATATGATACTCGTTTGTATATACATGTTGGTTCCATTGTTATTTACCATATACAGCTGGTAACTTTCAAGGGTCAAAATTTTCATGATTTTCTATTAGAACGCTCTATTTACATTCCTAAATTATACACATAATTCAATTTTTTAGAGAATATGTTTGTCATCTTCTTAATCCTAATTGTTGTTTTTGCAGGTTATTTGGAAATGTAATATGAACTGGGTATCCGTAGGTAGAAGACACTAACCCTTTTCGGGACACTAGATCTTTTCTCATTGTACTCAATGCAAGCTTACATATATATTTGTTTGTCCCACGTTTTACCATGTTAATGTTGTTGACATGTCATTGTTTTCTTCCTGTGATTGGTAAAAGTACCATTTCCATCCAGATTGTTAGATTTTATTCCATTTCTGGTAGTATTCAAATGAACAAGTCATTGTCATAAGTCCTAAACTATTCAATTCTGAGAGGCAATGTCTCCTTCAATCAATAATAAACAGAAATGATAAATGTTTTGTTTTCCTCTAAATTATTTTTCAATGAAAAAAAAGGAAACAGCCCTTTTAGCCAACCTCAGATGAAGCATGAATCCACGCAATTTATAACATCATTCATGTGGGATCTTTAAAATATTCTTTTTATTTGCGTGATATGAAGCTGGGCATGTTTATTGCCCTTAGTATCACCAACGAGTCATACAAGGATGAAATATTGGTCTATATTATGCACTGCAATTTAATTTCTATTGTATTTTTTTATTTTTTTATTTTTCTTATCTTTCATTTCATAGAAATATGCTATTCACTTGTGTCTTTTCAGAAAGCTATTGATGAATGCAGAAAAAATTACAGGAAGTCAGTTCTGTGGACAGGGATATCTCAAGAGTGTACACTGTAATGGTTTGGCTGGTCAGTACAAGACTTCCCAATGCTGACATGTGCAAAGCTCTTACACAAGGGTCGAGATAATCTTGCCCACGGATTAGACCCATGTTTGATTGTATTTCTCACATACTGAAAAAGGCATAGAATTGTATTAGGGGTGAAATAGTGTTATCCCATCCCTAGTAAGCAAAGGACCACTCTATGAAGTATGTGAGAACATGGTTCGTTGTGTAGTTGAGTAGCCAGTTCCTATTTTTGCTCATTCACTAGTACAAAAATATTTGATAACTAACGAAAATCAATAAGATACCGTTCATGTTTTTATTCATTTTGATCACATTCACAACAATATGTTTTGTTCTTTTTCAAATTTAATTGCCTGCAATCAATAATGTATTGAATTTGATTATAACTTATTTTGTCCTAAATGTACTGTTTATTTCATAAAAACAGACTGGCTATTCTTAAGATAATCTCTTTTCACAGAAATCAAACATGAAATATGTGCAAAGCCTCTATGATCTGGCTAAACAATGTGTTGACTAACATTTTGTATTCTACACACAAAATAGCAATCAACTGGATTTCTTTGAATATATTACACAATAAGATAGGTGATATTCAAAATTCATTATCTAACCAAATAAATACATTTTTTGTATCTTGGTACACTTGACTCATGTGAACATTTTTTAAAAAATATATATCAATTATTTCAAAACTGAATAAAATCCTCCAAAAAAAATCAGTAACAGTCAACTGGTTCAATAATTTTTCATGTATGCTGAAGTATCTAAATGCTCACACAACAGAAAAAAATGAGGGTTGGAATGTTTTATAGGTAGATTTGGGTAATTACAAGAAAATTAAGACAAATTATTTCCTGTGATTAAATATTCCTCAATCTCTGCTAAATACAACACACTCCTTTTCATAATACCTCTCTCTCTCTCTCTCTCTCTCTTTCTCTCTCTCTCTCTTTCTTTCTCTCTCTCTCCATAGAAAGCAGATCTAAATTTTCATAAACATTCAATGTGAATTTCAAGTCTTAAGTCAGAGTGCTCGAAGCACCAAGCACACAATTCACACCCATATGTTCTGAGAATTTTTTAAAATCAAACTTGAAAAGAGCAGAAAAATCTTTCTGCCTTTTCTAAAAGCGTTAGTACCTCATAAATGTTCAATTTAGGTAAAGAGGTAATGAGTGACTGTAAAAATAAATCAGAATAAAACCATCTAGATGGATGTGTCAAGTTTGGATTCAGAACTCGGTATCTGTTTGACAAATTAAAAAATAAAAAACAGGAAAATTGATAATACTGTATTATGTATTGAATGTCACCTTTCGGTAACATGTGGTCTATTAAAACTTCTTCAAAATATTTTAATTGTGTTGGTCCTCTAGTATGGGCTGCACTATGAATTGAGCCATGGTGCAGTCTGTGCTCTTCTATGTATCAGCTGCATTTGGCAAGATCAATAACGGATAACACAGGATGTTTGATCATGTGACAATGTATCCCATATATGGCCAGTACATGATCTAAAACCAGAATGAGGAGGACTTTCTTAATATACTGTGATATATATAGATATAAAGTGTGCATTTGTTTTATCACATAACTGCTAGTCTGTTTGCAGATTTACTCTGGAGTCCATCATTCATAATTCTAGCTGTACGTTCTCGAGTCATTTCCAGTTCTTTCCAGCGATTTTCCTCTAGTGCTTTCTGAAATCAGAAACACCCCATAGTTATTATCTGACAAATCAACAGCATCATTTTTTTTCCCTTTTTTGTCCAATATATCTCATCTGTGATAGTCTTTGATTGGTAATAAGCTCACCCTCAATGGATTTATATGGACATTATTCTTTGCTACATAACTATTTTTCGCACATGCATTTCAATGAAGAAAAACCTACCAGGATTTTTAATATGTCTTAAATATGATAGCAAATAGGTATTTGATATAAAAAGGCGCAAACTTATCACAGAACAGTGATATAATATATATCAAGCATTTTGAACCTTCTTTTTAAGTTGTATGATGTCAATGCCAGACAGGGGGAAAATGCAAAAATTAGACAAATATTCATCCTCTGACCCTGTTTAAATAAAAGTTTTATCTCATTCAAGAACAAAAAAGCTAAAAAATAAAAACAAAAAAAAAAACAAACAAAAACAAAAAACAAAAACAAAACTTCTTTCGTTGTGATAGGAATTGAAGTGTGTATAATGTAAATTCTTTGAATGGTTCATAAATAAATGATACAAGCATTGTATGTACAAAAATAGAAAAGAATAACAAGTTGATGTGGATGATACATACAAAATTGTCATACATAATGTCAGTCAAGGTATAAAAGTGATACATTGTATATTATCAAGTCAATTGTTTAAGAATAAAACATTTTCTTATTACCTTATGTAATAGAATTTTGATAAAATGCTCAAAGTTGAAATGTTTAAATCTACAAAATAGAGAATTTGACGTAAATATTTCAAATTTAATGGAATTATTTTTCTCTCCCTCCCCTTTTTTTGGATGGTGGTGTCTGGTTTAAAAATTATAGAAAAAAATAAATAACGAATATTCAATAACTTGAGTTTGTGCAATAAATGGTGCTTGTTTGTCTTTTGATACCATGAAAGTGATTTATTATGTCCTGAGGGGTAAAATTTCAATAATTGTTTGATCTTATCAAAGGAGGAGAGGGGGATGTTGTTTGCTGTATTTTTAGTCAGCAATGAGCAGAAAAATAAACTGACAAAATTTTCATACATACTCATGCTATCTATTAATATATATTCATACACATTTTTGGACAATATGATTTTGATATTTACAGCTAAATTTGGTCAAGAAGTGTTTGTGTGATATGTAATTTGTATGTGATGTGTGACACCAATATTTCTTTGATCATACCGCTTTTGAGGCGCCAACCAATACCATCCACAAGCACATGAAGGACTATACAATTTGGATTCCTGTGTGGCATTAATGTCACATTCAAATATACAAGAAAATGAAAATGGTTTCTAAATTCAATGAACATGTATAACTTAAAGGAAAATTGTTTATTTTTCTAATTTACATCTTAAATGTTTAATGTAAGTATTTATCAATATATTGCACTCAATTAATGTACACATCCCATGCCTTGTGGACAAACCCAAAGAATATCAACCTACCTTCTGACTTATGAGGTTCTGAGTTCGGTTTGCAGCTGTGCGACTAGCAGTGATCTTTGCACTCTGTTGTTCACGTTTCCTCATAGCTTTACGTTCCTCCAACCTCCGCTCCAACTCCGTGAGTTTTTCATCCTTAACCTGAAGTGGTCGAGGCTCCCCTTTCTTACGCTTCTCAAACCTGTTTGTTTAAATATAAAATTTTAAAAAGATTTATAAACAACAGGTTTAATATTGTAAACATACTTATTTTCAGGAAATCCAAATTTTTAGCGGATTATGATTTTTAATTAAGTTAACCAAATGATGAATTTGCACATTCACAAAAATTGGTTTATGAATGATTTACAGAAATGCAAATACCGGTAAACACCAGCATATTTATTGCAATACTTCAAGATTAAAAAGTGCTAAAATCTGTATGTTAACATTATATATCAATTCTAGATAATATGGAAAACAATTTTGGATTATTAACGATAAAAAGGTTATTACTTAATGGCTGCTGACTTGGTCTGCTCCAGGCGATGACGTGAAATGGTCTCCAATGTGTCAAGAAGTTTCTGGTCTTTTGCCTGTGACAAACACAAATTTTCCTATACTTTAAAAATATAATTCTTTATCAACCAAAAATCAGTTTTAATACCATGAACCATAGGGTAGACAATGTGTATGCTAAAATTAATTTTACAATTCTGTTCTTTGGACTATAGTGTTTTCATTTCAAATGCTTGAGAATTAAGCAAACAAAATATCGTCAACACAATTTATCACTACTGAGTGATCTCCCTATGTTGTGTTTTCTATATTTAGATAATGATGATAATATTCTCTCACACAGGCAGATTTTTAAACACAGCATGCAATTTTCTATGGAGTGCTGTGGTTTTTTTTCCCTCGAGATAACATGACAAAATAGGTCCTCTTGAGAAGCCATATGTTCTTTGCTGGCAATCCTTTGAATCATGGGCCTGCAAATTACATATCAACAAGACCTCATGCATTCAAGGATAGATAACTCTGTCATCCCAGATCAATGAACATGTCCAAGTTAATGCAATATATTCTTTTAATAGCACACGCAGGCAACACTGCATTTATCTGGCAAATTTTAACATCATGCCCAGCAATAAACTCACTGTTATCTATTGCAGATTCGGTAGAAATGCCTGTGTATTCTATATGATTGTCCATCTCCTTTCACTCAGATCTCATGTAATTTCTCCCTGGGTTTATTGTTAGATAAATTAATAAATTGTTCCTAATTTTCACAAATTATTACAACTCAGATGGACAGAATTCTGATTATTTTACAGTAGCATCTGTGCTGTAATCTAAAAAATGTCTGTAAGGCATAAACAGTATCAGTCACAACCATGCAAACCAGAATCTGGTCAGGAGTGTAGTACAAGATGGGACGATACTATGGGATAAATAGAAACTAATATGTTGAAATGTTCTCAAAACATATAATGTTGATCTGAAACAGAACGGGTCGGAATGGGGTACAACTGGTGAACATGGGTAGCACTACATGCCAACCTGGGAAATGGGGAGGAAATAAAAACAAATAATGACAGAATACAATGTGAGTGGCACAATAGATTTACATACCTGTTTTGTGGCTAAAATATCATCTCTTCTTTGTTCCTCTAATTCCTCCTCAGCTGTCTTCAGTAAAGACATACGTTCACGGAGCTGTAATATTCAATAAGTGACTATCAAATATTCAACTGTAGCAAACAGCACTTCTTTCATTAATTGTTTGATTGAATTTTTTAAAAATTGTTTGCTTTTAGCATGACTATATCAATAAAAAATGCACTGAAACCAGTGTCACTGGAAATGCTGACACCTGAAGCATTTGACAAGGTAAGAATGTTCATGGGCTGGTCATGTAGACTTGATCTGAATTGTGAGACCTCTGAAAGAGGATCTTCAGATAATAGTATCTTAAGATGATACTATTTTTGATCAGCCCCCACCACAAAAATTACCGGTTGTAAGAAATTGTGTTACAGGTATGCTTGATAACATTGATGAAAAATGTAGAGAAACAATGCATGTTTAGAAAGTTACTGATTGCTTCTTAAAAACAACTGAAATTTAAAGAATTCGAAATCTGTTAAAAATCTGGTTGTCAATTTATTACACTTACCTCTGCGATTGACATTTCACTGAGTAGTCCATGACCAGAGGTCGCAGTGAGGTCAACAAACTTTTGCCGAATGATTGGAACAGCCTCCATAGCACGGATCTGGTGAATTAATTCCATTCGCCTCCTCATATCAGCTTCTGCCTAAAATCATAAATTGATGAATGTTTGTTAGTATGGAATATTTAGGTACATATCGTACTAGAATGATCAATAAAAAAAATGAAATAGAAACTTTCACTTACAACACACCAATGCCTAAACACTAATTTTCAACCCATTTGACATGAAAAATTTGTACCATGACTGTTATTCCAAAGTCTTTATAACTAGCTGTAAGTTGTTTCATTTTACGAGGTTAATATTTCATGTATGTCTCAGCGACAATTTTGCACTAATCTGCCATTAGCAGTAAATAAACAGCATGTCCATACATCGGTATCTATATCAATAATACAGGTATAAACAGTATACATTATCTGAGATCTGGATTTACTTTAATTTCTTAAATGATTAAATATATATATAGTGAAATTGAACCCCCTGTAAATATTACCAATTTTAGGTACACAGCAGCCGAAACTACATATCTTTTTTTTTTTTTTTTTGAAATTTAAACATAGATTTATGTATATCACAGTACACGCTTTAATTTCTTTGGCAACATGGAAACATGATATCATTACTTGTGCAATGCCATTTTGTCACATACAGCTGTTAGCTTGTGATTTTTTGGGAAGGAAATTCAGAAGGTAATTTATTACAGAAATAAAAACACATTAAAACTACAGAATACATTGTATTATTATAATGATGTAGGCTCCACTTTACCTGATTAAACAGAAATGGAACTGAAAACTCTAAATCAAAGTTCAAAATTTGTGACAATTTATATTTTGTCTACTTACTATTTTGAAATATACCTCCATCACCCAATTTTAAATTAAGAAAATTTCTCTGTTAGAACTACAATTAGCATCCTCATAAATTATCAACTAAAAAGTGAAACAATATGCTAAGTCTTTCCAAAGTGTAATGGGTAGATAACAAATTGGGCAATATCTTATATGCTTCTGACTATATCATGTTTTTCATTGTACCTAGGTTTTAGCAGATGATAAAAGAAATTTGAATAGGAGAAATGATGGTTTGGTATGAAATCATGACAATTAACTTGGCACATACTGACCTCCTCTATGGCCTGTTTCATCAGATCACGACTCTCCTCATTTACATCCTGAACTGAAAAAAAAACACAATAAACAACAGGTAATACACGACATCAGGGTTACAATCAACTTTTAAAATTCTAATTCGTAGTTTATATATCATGGACCAGAAATAAGGAAAACTCCTCAAAGAGGTAAAGGCTTTTGAAAGAAACAGGAGGGAAAAAATTGTGACAAATAAAAAAAACTGAAATACTATTTATAAAGATGTAATGAGCTAGCAAAAGATGTGGATATCAGACTATAGAGAATTAGGAACAAAAGAGTGAATAAAAAAAAAATATTATGAAGGAAAGTAATTGAACATAAAAAACAGTAAACCATTTCAACCTGGATTGAAACAATAGTAGAATTTACTTTAAAATCTCAGTTGTAAAAGTTCTTCAGTCTACCTAAGATGTGAAAGACAAAACCAAAACATCTTTCATATCATTAAGTATTTTACCTTTGGCCTCTGCAGTATATATACCTGGAAGGAAATTGGTATAAGTTCTTACCAATTTTTCTCTTGATTTCTTGTATTTTCTTCGTGGCATCTTTTGCATTTCTATGGCCCTGTAATGTCTGTTCCACTAACAGTCTATGAAGAAATATCATTCAAGATCTCATGAATTCTAAGGTTAATTAAGTTCATCACAAAAAAAGACATAATTTATTGAACTAAAATAATTTTCTTTTTTTTTGAAGGCAAATCGTAAATGTTAAATTAGCCGCTTTGAAAAACATTTCAATCAAAAATTTCAAATATTTGTCAAAGATTTTTTCTCCGAAAAATAATTCAAAGTATGTAATCAATACCTCACTTCCTGTTCTTCCTTAAACTTCTGCTGCAGATATTCATCAAACATTTTCTTTGTCTGTGGAAAAGCAAAGAACATAATAAATACACTGTTATACTAAGAAAATATCTTAAACTTTTTTCATTTCAGTAAATGCTATGATGAACTATTGAAAGACCCTCTGACTACTTATGAAAAGAGACCACTATAAAACAGCATTTTAATGAATATCATGTTACTGACCAGATATATTCTGTATTGAGGTAATTACTCAATTCTCTTTAGAATTTCAGGAAATGGGAGAAAACCATCACAGGTTTTTAGCCTGCTTCCCTTTTGATATTCATGCCTATGGTGTTAGAATACACTATGAGTGCACACCCCCCCCTCCCCCCCCCCCCCCCCCCCCCCCCCCCCCCCCCCCCCCCCCCCCCCCAAAACTTCCCACCGCCCGAATTTTTTTTCCAAATTTAGATTTACATGAAAATATACTTATTTTTTCCCTGTTTCTCACCAAAACAATTAAACATTATCTGTTGTAAATATTAAACAACATCATTTTTTGTTTGGTATGGTAATTAGTAAATGACCTAACCAAATTTTGTTGTTATCTTTAAACATAACAAAAAATAACAAAAATATTTGCAGCAGGTTTCTACAATGTCTCGCTTAAAAAAATCAGATCCTAGATTAAACCTATCTCGTCTCAACACTAAAATGAACAATATCTTACACAATGATTTCACTGGTGCAATGTATAAATTTTTCGTGGTTTTACCAAATGCCTGATTTAAAAAAATATATTTTTGCAGAAATCATGATATGAACTATTTCCTCGATTGATTCTATTTTCAAGGTTTCTATTTTCACAAAAATATTCCATCCTCAAAAACGATAAAAAACAGAAACCCCCAGAAAAAGAAATTATTCACAGTTTACATTCCAAAACTCTCACCTCCTCTCGGTGACTGAGAACCTTTTGTTTGTTTGACCGAATGACATTCTGTCGTGCCAGAATAGCCTCTTCATGGCTCAGTTTTCCTTCCAATCGACGCCGTTCAATGGCAGCTAATTCCTGTTCAAGGTCTTGTGTTTTCATTTTGTTTTGCCATTTTTCAAATTCACTTTTATCCTTTGCCCCAGCTTCCAAATTTTCCAACCTGAAGCAATGAAAGTTTATATAACCCAGGTAAATACTAGCCACAATATTTCAAAACATTTCTAGCCACAATTTTATCAACCACTTGACTACATAGAATTTCTTCAAAGTCTGATCAGTTGAGAGTAAAACTAGCAAAGTATAGGTTCTGTGCTCGCGTCTTTGTAATCACTGAACTGAATGATGAGCTCTGTTACATTGACAAACATGTAACTACCCAAGCAATATTATTAGAAATACCAAGCCTTGCTCCAGAAGATTTGATGTTACTCCTGAAATACTGGAAGACAAATTCTTTCAAAGCAGGGGAGTATGTAACAATGAGCTTGATCGGTAGAGCATAAGCCCAGTAAGCCATAGGTCCTGGTTTTATCCCTAGCAGAAGCATTACAACAAATGATAACTTCTGTTACAAACAAAAAAATTTGTTTGTACACATTTGACTTGGCATCCTCAAAACAACTACTATATATATATTTCATTAAGCCCACAGGGGTCTACATCATACCAGCAAGGTACATGTACAATAAGAAACTTAAAATCAGAGGGTGGGCTTATTACAGGACAATCATGAAGCATTTGCTGGTACTTCAGTAGAAGTAGATACAGTTTTGTTTGATAACAGAGGAGAACTTCTTGTAAAAAATGTAGTTGTGATTGTACTACCTGTAAACATAGATATCGCTCAATCGTGCACCTCTCACTTTTACTAATTCTTGAAGTAAACCTTTTCTATATTTACAATGAAATTAACAAATAAGATAAAACAACAATGAAAATAACACATAAGGTGAATAATAATAACTACCTTTACATATACAATGATATAGCATATTGCTGAAATCAATATTCTTACATATTTTGACTATATAATGTTTATACATAAAACAAGTTTTTTTCAATTTTGCCCAATTATCAAAAAGATATTTCCATTTTTCAGCCGTTCAGGGTTTCAGAAAAATCGTCCATACATTAATACAGATTTCTTATTTTTGCATATGAAAATAGCAGATGGCCGAGGCTCTCTACATAAATGTAACAATTCTACATTGAATTATCATTTTTGCACAACATACAACCATGAGTCAGGTTGTCTGTAATCTAGAACTAGCTGTTTATACCATTTGATTTCTTTCTCTTCTCTCTGTGAGTACAGGTGCCCTTCCCTCAGAATGGCAGTGGTATTCATCTTAAATGGAACTTCTTTACTCTGTAATGAAAAAAAAATCACTGATCTAATTATCTTCCATTCATTAGCTTTACTTTGTAATGACTTTTCACCCAGCAGATAATATTTCGTTTGGATCTAATACAAGATCTCAGTACAGTCTACAACTATTCAACAGATCAAAAATACTGTGTGATTTCATGAAATAAAATGGAAGCCTAGTCTTTAGTTAACATTCACTGCATACACTGTGTACCTGTAGGGAAAGACGGTATGCCTTTAGAGAAGACTTTCATGGAGAGAAAAATTGGCTTAAAAGAACACTTGTGAAGACTGAATGCTAGTCCAAAGTGCACTCCTTTCTAAAGAGACTAAGTGACCACATAACCGGAAATTACCTGTCTTAAGACACCATCAGTCTAGAAAGACAATCTGTCCAGTGAGAACACCTGTCTAACAAGACTATATGTCTAAGTAGAACCCTTGTATAGAAAGACCAAGCAATCACATGTCTACAGAGCACCTATATAGAGAGACCATCTGTTTGGAGAAAGACCAAGCAATCATGTGTCTACAGAGCACCTGTATAAAGAGCCCACCTGTCCAGAAAGACCAAGCAATCACATGTTACAGAGCACCTGTATAGAGAGACCACATGTCTGAAGAAATACTTCCTCTAAAAAGATAGAGAGCTCACAGGTCTATGGAGAGGAACCATTTAAGACACATGTGTAAAAGACCATCTAACTAAAGGGAAAACTTGTTTGATGCGAACAATTGCCTCAGGTGAATAATTGTCTTGTGGACTTGCTAAAACCACTTGTCTGCAAATGTTTTCACCTGCCTTAAGAGATCTTCTTTTTATTTATATAGTTCTTGCAAATTTGAATTCTAATTTATAGTTATCAATCACACTTTATTATTATTCATAAAACAACCAAACAGTCCATCAGATTTAGCTGCTTATAAAAGTTCCTTCAGGAAAATGTTTGTTTGCAAAAAATGACTATAATGTATTTCATGGAGTTCTGAAATTTTGAATTAGGTCATCACCTAAACTGACCATCAGTCAAAAATGGCTGTCTTGATGTGTATAATTAATTATGGTTCACTATATATTACTAACCACAGGAAATAGAACAAGTATTGATTCAAACAAGCGATACCAAAACATGTTTTGACACAACAGGCTATCTGTCAAATACCTTCAGTATAAATGGTAATTATAATTATAAAAACTGCACATGTTGATGTCTATATATACTTCAAACTTGGCAAGTTACGTCATAAGAATATCTGTCAGGCAGTGAGATACACAAGCATGTAAATTATTCAAATTAACAATTTTCAGTAAAAACATCCTGGAATAAGTTATTATTTTTTTACATTTTATCTCTTTAGGCAAAACCATGTTTTATTTTTAAGAATTTCTCATAAAAGTCATTTTTCCTCATTTCATTTTTTTTTTAAACATTTCCTGCAATTTCTAATCTAACATTTGTATTCGAATTCATTGAGTCAATGTTTATATTATCAAACTATTGTTAAGAATGTAGAAGGCTTTGTGTAACTTTTGATATCTACTATTATCTCTGTACCTCTGGTAATTATGGATGTAATACCATATATTGGGATATTTTTGCAATGTTTAATTTTTGCTAAAATCCCCAAAATGCACATTTTACAATTTCTTCATCCGAAATGAAAGGCCTCTTTTGAAGAATTTGAATACTTCAGGACAGACAGAGCTTTAACACATATACACCAGTGTAGATTCTAATATCAACTGGAGATCTAACTGACCAATCATACTAAGATAAGAGATTTACACACTGACCAGTATATATGTATCATAGAAGTATTCATGACTAGAACGTGTTCAGGTGTATGTAGGTAAATCAGCTCTATAAATGTATTACTTATGTGTTTATTATAAAAAGAAAATATGCAATTTTAGCAATTTTAATTTTTTTGCTTTTTTTTTAAGTCGCTAAATTCGCAAAAACTACATATGTGCAAAAAACTCCTGATTATATGGTAATAGTCATGACTTCAATTCTGAGAAAGGTATTTTAAGAAAAAGATATGAGGATAAAATTCAAGACACTTGAAATTAATTTGCTGTGGCCTTAAAAGAATATGAAAGAGTAAACTGTTATTTATGTATATAAAAGGCGAAACACATGTATAAAGGACAAAATTTTGACGACATGCATGCATATTTTGTCCTTGGAGTGACAGACAGTGTTCTATTATACAGTTATACAGAGACAGGTGAGGAAAGAAATTTCTATAGACATGCCTTTAATTTATTTGTACTTTAACAGCACAGCCTTACATAGAAATGATCAGATATATGTTGTGTGATACATGTCAATACAGTAAATTAATTGCAAAAAGGAAACAACCTTTTTAAAGCATGCATGACCATCAGCACTTTCTATTTAAAAACTACCAAATGTGATCATACAAACAAGAAATAACTAAAACTAGCGAAAGAGAAACAGATCATGATCCAATATTTTTATCAATATTATTCACAATAGATGACACTGTTTGATTTATCACAACATAAAAAGCATTTTAATTATCAAAGCAAGGGAATCTTAAAATTCTTTTACAAATTTAAGTTAAAGTGTCAAAATGTATAGATTAATTAATCAGTGTATTTGTTTGTTTGCTGGGTTTATTGAACCATGAACAGTCGAGTCATTTTGAGGCAGGGTCTCCTCATAGTAGCTGGTGGCTAACCAAATGATCAACATATGGGAGGCCCGTCACATGCCATCCAGAGCAATTAGGGTAAAGTGTCTTGCAAATGGACACAACCACATCAACACAGACCATTCTGTTATTCAGCTTTCTGGAAAATGGAGTGTTGAACCACACACCTCTGATCTTCACCTGAGGCTACGAAATCCAACACCCTACCAACTGAGTTATTGTGGCCTCTGAACTGAACTGTACATCACTATAGTGAAAGAGTAATGACATGCTAAACTGTTGATTTAATGTGGACCCAAAATGAAAATATTTAATTGTGGTTATGGTTTCACTTTTATACATAGCATGCATAGCTGTATACATAAAATACATTTTATTGTAACAGTTGTTTGGTTTACATTGAGATAGACATGCATGAAGACGAAGATCACTCACAATCGCTCGAACCCGGCGACGGGTCACACCACGTTCTGATTTCATTAAAGTGGCGGCTGTAGACTCAGACTGGATACAACATAGCATTATCATTATCTAACTACAGTAAACATTCTTTACCAAGGAAACAAGAAATATAATTAACATTACTATAAAACTGTCCCAGGATCTCGATCGCAAGATTTTATAATATTGTTTACACATAGGAATTATTTTCATGAACAATTCTTGGTGCTAGTATAAACCAACAGTCATTTGCAGCTAATAACTTTCCTGATTTTCATATGGCAAGTTCATGATGATTAACTTGCCCACAATATATTATATTCATGTATTATAATGTTAATTATCCCATTTGAATTCACAGAGATCAACTTTTGCTCATTTATTTCATTTGTGATATTAAATTGCTCATGAAAGAAAGTTGATTTATGGGTTTTTTTTAGAAATGTCTATTTTAAGTTGTTTCTTATAATTTTTTTGAAATAGTGCTATTTCAGTTAATGATACCAAAAAATAGTTTTTTCAAAGGCAAAATCAAGAAAATTTCAATTTCACTGTACTAAAATGGATCACAAACTTGTACAATTTTCACTGAAAAAGAAATGATAAATTTGCTATTTGATAACAGTCATCTGTACTCATGGAATTTGTTTCAAGTCAATCTTACCAGGAATGATGGTGTTGGTTTCGCTCTGTGTCTCTCAAAGTCCAGTTTACTTTCTTCCTCACTGATAATGTTGTTCCATATTTCTTTTGTCTTGTCCGACTTTTCTGGATTTGCACAGGCAAACTGAATGCGGGAAGCTTCCATTAGCCTCTCCTGCAATGTATACATTTTGTAATAAGCCCCTGTCTGGTAATAAGCCCACCAATGTCTATTGCTATTTGTTCAGTAGAATCATCATCAAATTTTATTTCATTATCCTGTAATAAGCCCACCACCTGAATTTCAGTTACTAGCAATGTGGTGAACCTATATGCTTATCGCAGAGTTAACACAAAGTTTTAAGCGTAGATATTTTCTCAATTTTAAAAAAGGGACCAAATATTCAAATTGGATTCCACAATAACATTTTTTTTTTTAATACCGTTCACTTTAAAAGAGGATGGGAATTAACTTTTATTGAAAATAAAATAAAATGGGAAAAAAATCTAAAAACTGAAACACAATGAAACACACAAACAAATACAGCTTTGTTTACTTGTTTACATTATTTTGTTAATTTCATTTTTACCTCTGCTCTTCTCCTATTAACATCCCTGTTCCTCTTGAGGACATCAAATTCTTCTGGATCATCATACAGTGAACGGGGAGGAGGCTTATGTTTGTGAAGTTTTGGAATCTGTGAAAGTAAATGCATGTAATATTACATCATTTTTCCCACTACATGAAAGACACATATGAAGATTGTTTTCATTACGTTTAATATACTCATGGTTCTATTACTCTTAAAGAACAATTCTTTTGATTTAAAAAACATATTGTCAGAGGAATACTCTGAATTCAGACAAATTTAAACACTTGTATTCTTACAATTTCATGATGATTAAATCATAAGATCTCTACATTATTTCATTATTTATTTATTTATTTATTTATTTCATTTTTACTCTGGCCTAATACTTTGAAAATTAGCACAAACATAACACTGTATTGTGAGGACAGAATTATTTCAAAGAGTCCTGTTGCTGATCAAAGAGAAAATTAAAACCAGTGCAGAATCTGTCAATAAGTTAAGCACACTTACTGGTTCTGGTATTGGGATACTTCTTGGTCTAGGCTGTGTGATGTCAAAAGGCTTAGTTTCTGAATATGAATATAATGGTTTCTGTTACAAAATCTGATTTGCCACATCCTGCCCAAAGTATAATTTTATACCATTACAGGGTCCAGTGGAAGGGAGATAACTAATAATTATCTACAGCTTTACATCACAACTAAACAAAAAATTCAAAAGTTTCTCTTTATTTAAATGCTTCTTCTTCTTAACAAGCTTACTAATATTGAAATAATTTCAATCATGAAATACATAATTGAGAAGGAAGGCATTGGCCATAAAAAAGGGCTTGCTAAGTAGATCTGCTTCCCTCAACATAAGATGAAAACTTTATTTCCTATGCAAACTGTACCTGACCTTTGTTTAAAATACTTGAACATGAAATTGACACATTGACAGCACATTGTGACCTAAATTGAGAAGTGACAGAACTCATGAATATGTACATCATAATATATATGTGTACCTTCCATTCCTACGATCCACACCTCCAAACTGTGGGAGCATAAAATTGGCCAGTTGATAATGTAAAACTGAAATCTTATTCGGTGAGGTACAGAAAATAAGCATTAGTTTTTTCAATTTTAAATCTAAACTCTTTCTTTGAATAGTTTATATCATTAGAAAAACAAACACATATGTTTTTTATCACTGTCAGCATACCTGTTTTAGGTGTGGTTTTTCGCCTAGGTTTAAGTTTGTTGTCTATTTTGGCTTTCATATGACTCAACATTTCTTGAAGTTCTGGCATCCATCTGTAAGATAATCATCGGTCAACACATGTTCTTAAAACACAAAAACTCTTTATTTGATTTTCTATTTTAATTTCATTTTCGACTTTTAATTTTTCATTTATTTTGAGTCAAACCTAAACCTGTCTATAATGGCCATTCAAGGGAACAGAGAAAAGTGTCTTTTAAAGACAGGTGGTCTTAGTCAGAGGTTCAATTTCTATGCATTTTACAACATTGAAACACAAAGCAATTGGCCCTTATAGGCAAGTTTTTGCTATAAACCAGATTAATGTTTTAGCCATATTTTTTCCATTGAAGAAAGCAGAAACTACTTAGATGTACATTGTAAATCTTTAACTAAAATTTGTCAGTTTAATATATTGAAAAGAGGTAATATCCCAAAAAACAGACACTCATGGGGTTCTACCACATTTTCATTTTTTTGGCAAAAAGTGTATAAACAAACTACCTGGTTAAGCGTTTTTTTCAAATGCTGAAATAATGGGTCGAGTTTGTAAAGTAATTTAAAGATGTTTATAATTGTTTATTAGACAACAGCACAAAAGATTACAAAAATATTCTTGGTTTTTGTTTACAAGATATCTCTAAAATTTACGTTGCTGTTGTGCTGAATTCAGAAATTATATATACATTTCATATCGCTGTCTACATTAGCCTACATACGTTATCACGTTTTTGGTAGTTTATGTGTATTCTGCTAGTAAAGAGGTGAGCTAGCATGACATTTATGGATATGAAAAATAGCTGGAGGACATACATAAGGCACACTGTAATGGAGGCCGAAACAGACGTATTACCTATATACATCTACACTTCATGCATTTCTTGTGCTACGTTTCTTTCTGTTTTATAATATACCTTGGTAATGTTTCAATTAAGTTAAAGATTTATGCAAATAAGGTTTTATCAATTGAAATACATGCAGGTCACAGTATGAAGCTAATAACCTGTCCTTCATCTAAGGACACTTCTGTTTAAATATAACTCACCTCTGTATTGGAGACAAGATGTTTGTTTGTACAAAAGTATGTTCATAAAACTTCTCCCAGCCATCCTTCATCCATGTAAGTAAATTCCTCTCATTCAGGCAAAAATTAAGAAACTGTGCAACAAACAAGTGTAAGCTTGTGAGAATTTTATCAAAAAAATATTAATTAGATAATTTCAACAGAGATTCAATATTCCGGTAGAAAAATTTCCACAAAAGAAAAGAAAAAATAAATAAATTTGATAAATGGAATGGCTTCATTAAATACAATAATGATACAGTCACACTTAAAAATTATATCAAAGATTACTGTATCTGATAATAAGTCCATCCATTCCAACTGTTGTTCAGTAACATTTTAAACACTAATCCAAATTATTCTGACATTCTATCGAGGGAAATATGTGACCCATGCAACTGTAATACTTCCAAACAGAATAAAAGTCTCATAAAAACCAATAAAGTCACTTGATATGGAATATAAAGTACTTAATTATATCTTTTCACTGAACATTAAATTATGACACTGGTATCAGCTTGTAGATGAGAAACAGACCTTTTGATACATGTGCATTACACATTTGAAAATGACGATTTCTTTGAGACCTACAAATATTGTGTGAATGTCAACCCATACACTGATCACTTATTTTCCTCAATTTTTTATAGGAATGGAGTTCTGACATTCGTCCAAGGCGGTACATATATATAAGTTGATGGAATGTCAGTATAATCCAGACTAATTAAACACAAAGATCATAACAACGTGAACTCATAATAAGCCCATCCCTGACTTTGAGTTAACAGAAGTTTGTTGGAATCCATAAAATTATACCATAATCATGAACAACGATACTTGTAGATGTCTAATCATGAGTTTATGTGAAAATGTTTTAAGTCTTCGTAATCTTTCATTCAAAACATTTAAAATTGTTACTATTGAAATTCTAAAGACACTTTCCAATGTAGTTGAATGAAGGAATTGGTTCAGACACAATGTGACTTACTCTATACATTTTGTTGATATCCTGAGCACTGACAAATTTTCTGAAGTGTGCCACACCCAACTCATCCAGCCTAAAGAATGCCAGGTAACTAGTTACTACAAAACAAAACAATAAACAAATGTTATTTCAATCTGTCCAGTTTAAAGCCTATATCAAAGATCAATTTATCATTATTTTTCCTCAAAACTGAAGATTATATTGCAATGAAATCACAGAAATTTTTTCTATTCCTTTTTTTTTTAATTGATTTTTTTTTCTTGTTTATTTGTTTGTTTGCTATGTCTAATGTACTGTAAACAACCTGAGTCATTTTGAAGTTTGACCTTTTAACAGCTGGTGACTAACTCACTGAACAACATGCAGAAGGTCGGATATATGCTATCCAAAATGGCTGGGGAAAAGACTCTTGCCCAAGGATGCAAATACATCTAAACAGGAGCGTCTACAAATTCAGCTTCCTGACAAAGATCCAGTAGAGTTGCAAAGTCTTTAATGCTTTTGGACAGAATGACTGTACTCCAAAATTATCACACCTCCTGCATTTTGTCTTTGTTCAACAAAAAAAAGACAAGAAGATATATTTACCTATGTACAAGTTTTCTTCTGACCGAAGTACATTTTTCCCATCTTTCACAAAAAATCCATCTGTTATGACTCTCATGAGATCCCAGTAACGGATACAATTTGAAAAGACTTCCACTATGAATGTTTGGTCCCCATCATCATATACCTGAAACAGCAAATCAAGATCAAATTATACCAGGGCCTGATATATTTGCCTAGATTTTTGGTACAAAGGTCCAAGATTATTAAGAGGGAATAAATCTCTGTAACCAATTGTTAGAATGACTGAGGATTGCAAAGATTACAATATGTTTATAAAATCTGAAATTATCAAACAGAAATTTTCAAAGACCAGCTTGCTTCAGAGGAAGCAAATCATGTTTTTGTTTTCCGAGAATTTTTTAAGTATGCCGATATAGCTAATATGATTAACCACTTTAGAAGTGGCTTGCTGATTTTGATATTTATACACCTGTAATATATAGTTGTATACCTACACTGTATTTGATTTACGGGTGTGGTTGTAGGTACATGTACGTAAGCTTGTATGTGTGAGTGCGGTGTATGTACATGATGCATATACATATTTATTATATTTGCTGTTAGGTGTACGTTGCATGTATGCTTTACCTGTACATATTATGTGTATATATGCAAGTATTCTCTTGATGTACATCTGTATGTGTGTGGTCAAGTATACATGCAATCATGGAGGTGAAAATGTATGTTTGTGTGGAGGAGTGTTTCTCACATGTATACCTAACTCTGCATCAGTTCATTTTATTGAATAAAAAAAATCAATTATAAAAAAAAAAAGCTTACTTGGGAGGAAGCAAATCATGTTTTTGTTTTCCGAGAATTTTTTTATAATATTTGCAAGCAAGTTTGTTTTCATCCTAGTCTATCAGATGAAGAATTAATTTTAAATGACAATTAACATCAACCACTGAGGCATCCTTGCACTAAACCATATTTTTCTTATATGTCTTACATGTGACATGTCTGATAAAATATCAAAACTCAATAAAAATGACAATATTTTCATACAAAATTAATGCGTTGATTGTTGATGTGTATCTTTTTTCAATAAATCAGCACATGACCATATTGACAGTAAAAATTCTTGTATCTCCACAAAATTGCATAAACAGACTGCTTCATAGCAAATGTATGTTATTTTAAACTTTTAACAGGAAGAAATCCTTTAACAGCACATGACCATATTGACAGTAAAAATTCTTGTATCTCCCCAAAATTGCATAAACAGATTGCTTCATAGCAAATGTATGTTATTTTAAACTTTTAACAGGAAGAAATCCTTTAAGATGTTTTTCTATGCAGACTGCTCAGATTGGGAAAGCGAAGGATGAATTGGGGAAAATACAAGACATTTTTTGATAGAGCATGAGGCCCATTATCGAATAATAAAAATACCTTGCAAATACTAATGCACCCCTGATTGAGCAAAACAGAAATATTCTTACATATGGAGATTGTGGGAATTCAAAACCACTACTTAAGCAACCACTAGTGTTACATATACATGTACAAGGACATTATGCATGTCTGATTATCTGTGGTCTTGTGTTTTGGTTACTTGGTAGTATGATAAAAAGTCAATCAAAGTCAACTACAGTCGACTACATGGATTAATAAAAAATAGTATAATGTCATATACCTGAAAAAGTTAAGTTTCAGATGTAAAATAAATGGTGTGAAGAAAAGGGGTAGGGTGTCAAGTGAATGAAACACACCTAATGTAAAGGATCAGTTCATACCTTTTGTTGCTTGAGGTATTTGTTAACATGCTCTTCAACTGACTGCATGTCTCTATTGTATGTGTCCAGCACTCGGACTGCATGCACCAACAGCTGACCATGGCTAAGGCTCGCCATATTTGAGAAGCGACAACCTAACTGAAATTGCACACGTGTAAGAATGAAAATCATGCAGAAATAATACCAAACATTTTAAACGTGTCATTCTTTATCATATGTACTCATCTTTGACATAAGTCATTTTCACTCTTCTACTCACGAAATCTGATGAGACAGACGTCGTCAAATCGGATTAACAGATATTGTTAATTTGTCACCAGGTAATATGATCAGTCGCCAAAACCGGTTGCGCTTCTAATAAAGATCACTATTTATCTCGATTCTACATAATCACTTATTGCTTACAGATTTTAGTTTAACACAACCAGAAAGCCATTAAAAACGACTTAGTGAAGCTCATTCAAACTTAATAGATTTGTTTGTAAACGTGACCTGTGTCTGTGGCTTAGTACACTACAAAAAAGACAAGTTTATTATCCACTATCGATTACCAGTGTTGGTTTGGTTATTGTTTCTAGAAGGCAAATAGTATTCTTATTTAACAATGCCCATGTCAATGTTTTAAATCACTCATAACCTACCAAAAGTGTGATTTAAAATCCAGTTGCCCGATCTTTCAACTGAGTGCCGCCATATTGCATTTTATGTCGTCATGGCAACAAAAAACACTATTTGTCGATCAGACGCTTGAAGGTTTATTATTTTTATACTATCAACGTAAAAGTCGCCTTTAATGCGTTTACATTTTAACAGCACTATACGGGTCATTTGTTGACAATAAATATAAAATATGCGTTGTAGTCAAATACAAAATAAAAGAATGTTATTGGTTATTATTTCTCTTCTAAACACACATATGACTTTGACGAATTATAGGGAAATAAACGGAAACGGTCAGTGAAACCGGAACATTACTACTCGGATGTAATGTAAGACATTAAAATCAACCATTATGTTTCTATGCAATACTATAAGATATTTAGGTAGTATAGTAATGTAAATAAACAGTCTAAAATTCCAGATATTTTCGTTTTCGGTCTTTCATTAGATATAGGTATTTACAGGAAAAGATCAGTAATGATTTAAATACCCCAAAAACGAAATATCAAATAATTAAATAAAAATGAACAAATAAAAATTTCATTACATAAAATCTGCAGTTTTCCCCATAATGTTTTAGCTGCTGAAGTGTCATTGTCAAATCATTCAAACAATCCGCTGTCTCTTCTACTAACTATTTAAGTTTATCCGCAAACCGTTTGAAAAAAGTTCATTTTTGCACAATTTAAATCAATTTCTTATTCCTGAATGAGTTCTTACAAACGTTTATGTTTAGTTCGTTTTCCTTCTTGATACTAAGAAGTACCGAAGCAAGAAAACATACCTCCTGCACTCTCCATGTCCGGAGGCGACTAATGTGTAAGGCGCTTTTAGGTCGGAGGCGGAGGTGCTGTCCTCTGTTTAAATACATTAGGAAATTACTGGAGGGAACCTAACAGAAACGGATGTCTTATGACTTATGTATAGTATTATCATGGATGTGAGAGATAAGTCGAATTGGTTCCTTTTTAATTTATTTCATTGATATTATGAAATAGTGCATCCATTGGAAATTAATCCTTTTCAGTTTTTTTTAATTTTTCAATATATTACATGATAATTACAACACATTACATCTCATATAAAGACATGGATGAGTCTCAAATTTAAATGTCACCATCATCTTCATCAGTAAACACACCTCCTTCTCATCTTCATTATCGTCATCGTCGTCGTCGTTGTCGTTGTTGTCAGTCATTCTCATCTTCATCGTCATTTGTCATACATTAACATTAGCAAAGTTCATAAACATACATCATCATCATCATGGAAATGAATCTTAAAAACTTGTAAATCACATTCATTCTTAAAACGCATTCTATTTGTTTCCTGATCTTTAACGTGTGCACGGGCATCACTTTCTTTATTACATTGAACTTTTAAAGGCTTGTAGTTTGTTTTCAGTTCGTTATGGAGTTTTCATGTAAGAGAGGTTTTTTATTTAACAGAAAAAGTAACAACATACACTTCAAGCTTATTTTTCAATCCCATATATACATTTACAGTTAAATGTATGTATGTGTAATATTGCTATCATTGAATAAATGCTCATAATATCATCGGCATTGCAAAGCTGTAACCTTCCTTTATGTATATAGTTAATTGATTGCTGAATTATTGTACCTCGTGAGAAAAAAGGAAAATGCAAAATAAAATATGCATAAAGAAAATATGAAATATTCAAATGATGTTCAATTATAAAAGAGAAAAACTGCAGTTTGAATTATACTGTCCATGGATTGTACAAACCTGAATAATGTTGTTATGTTAATCAACATAAATACAGTTTTAAAAATAAGGCGAAAAGAGCTCTATCATTGAGATATTACAGATGAAATCATATCTAACTGTAATGATTCCAAGCGATTCGTGGGGAAGGAATTGAAAACCAGTACCAAAATCTTATATAACCTCAAAATAAGATATCATCCATAATTTCCATTTGATTTATAAATATATTCCGCATTCTTATTACCGTCAGTCGGTTTTGTATTTGTAAGTAATCTTACCGTGATAAAATGCTGAAATTATATATAAAACTCTATGCTTTAAAAGGTCAAAACGATTTCATTGTTTACCAACCATGCTACATGTATTTGCATAATTGAAGGAAGGGTTTACTTCATTACTATTTCACAAGATAATTCCGGAAACCCCCGAAGTCAAGGTCAGTAAAGAACCTTGCTCCGAGGTCACACAACACCGTAGCCAGTCAGAGAACTTCGGCAAATCTCGGAACGTTGTCACGCTCAACAACCGATTTCTGAAAAGACCTTTGCAGGGGATACATTTAACGATATTTTTGCTACAAACATGTCGACAACGACCGAGGTAAGAGTTTCGTTAGATAATTTAAATACGTCTTTCATATCGTTTTACATCATTTAATTAAATGAAAAACGTTGATGCGTTAGAATGTTTTTTATTATTATTTTAATTTTGTATGTAACGGTACATCCCTGTAGGCTAGCATCCTCTACTTCAGCAGTATGGGGCTATGGTTAAAAGGTCAAATTACGAACGAATGCCTTTGAAAATGAAAGAAATCAATTCTATTGGAAATGAATCAGAAGGGACTCATTGAAGAATTTGAATACATTTATAATTAAACGAAGTCAACTTGCGGCCTTTTGGACAAATCGATATAATACATTTATTTTGCGTTTTAATTTTCAGGAACGCGAAATTTCTGCACCACGAGTTGGGAGGTTTAAAGTGCACATTCAGGTGGGTTAAATTCCGTTGTTTGTGGAATTTTTAAGTGAAAAATGCTCATAATCATGGATTTTATGGGACCATTTTGATGAAAAAATTTGAAATATATTGTGGCAATTCTTTATTGACAGTGGTAAGTACAATTGCATGGTTTAATGTTAACAAAATGTAGGCGATGCACATATTTTTGATAAACGTTTTTTTAAATTTCTGAGCATATAGGGCTTACGTATACTCTGCTGTCGGAAAGCGGACACTGTTTAACAGTTGAGCTGAGAATGTGTAGGCCTACAGCGTCAGTCACGTGACTCACCGACCGCATTTTAATAGTAAACAAAGGCACATGCTTGCCGCAAACTGTTTGTTTTGACGGAAGGTATGCGGCGAATAGTGCCCTACTTCTCTCAGTAACACAGCTAAGTATAGCAAAGGTCATCTTAAATATATTACGGGTCTTGTATGAAAAGAACTTTATAAATGTTTTGTAAGCAAAAACATGGCGTCAATTATTGATTTTGAACTTCAGCGTGTCAGTACAAAATATTGATTGTTGATTGTTAATGCAGTGAAGCGTATCATAACACCACAAAGACACTGTTTATTCAATAATTCAAGTCACACAGTGTCAGGGTTGGTCCTTGTCTTCTCAGACATTCAAGTCAGTAAAATGTTGGTTCATGAAAATAAACCTATTTAACACAGGAGATGTGTTTTGAAATATATTTCTTCAGTTGGATTCTCATAAAAATTAAAGTGGAGTTTTTAATATAAAGTTGCTAAAAATATATTCAAAGAAACATTAAAAAGATTGAGGTATTGTAATTCATTATACAGAAAAGCATGCATGCCTATACTTTAATTTTAATGGAAAAAAATGCAAATATAATGTATGTAGATTTCAAGCTTATACATGTACTTTTAACCCTTCTAAATGCATTTGATGGCACCCATACAGATGAATATCTTGAATATGTATTTGTTCAGTTAAATATAATTTTGTATATAGCTAGTTCAGGCAATAACATTTAAATTATGTATAACCTTATACAAACTATTGTGCCAATGCTAACTGCCTTGTTCATTCAGTTAGTTCATATTGATAATTCTGAAATCCTGGGTGATGCACTCTGAAGACAAATCATTTGATGCTTGATGATACTGCAGTGGAGAAACTACACTTTATAGCTAACAAAAATCAATAACATGTTGTGTGAGTATAGAGGATCTTTCTGAAGAGAAAAAAATGATGAAATTCCAAAGCAGAAGCCTTTTGGTTTATATTCAGTTTCCATGGCTACAGATATATTTGTTCAATTAATTTAGTGCATACACAACTGCTATGAACAAATTTTGGTATCTCTAAAAATAACAACTTGTATGATGTACATGTAATTTGACATCATTGAACAGGGTATACTGTTCAGTAATTAGTGGTCACAATACAACAAGGTGTAAACACACTTACACTGTAAAGGTGAATCAGACATGTCAACACAGTACATTTTGAAGGTTAATCAAAGGTGTCAACACAGTACATTATAAATATGAATCAATGGTGCCAACATTCAGACACTAATGATGAATCAAGATGTCAACACACTGTACACTGTAATGATGAATCAAGGAGTCAACACACACTACACTGTAGGAGAAATAAACACATATAACGCTGTTAGAATTATTCAAGATGTCAACATGTACATGGAGAACAGTGTAGGGGTGAGTCTAGATGTCAACTCATACAACATAGCAAAGGTTTCAAAATTAGTCGATGCATAGTACACATTAGGGGTGACCCAACGTGTCAACACTTTGCCAGTGACTCGACATGTTAACACACATTACAGTGTAGAAGTGACTCAAGATGTTGGCACAGTTTACTGTAGAAGTGATTCAAGGTGTCAACACATGGAATATTGCTAACATATGACAGAAATAGAAAAAAAGAACAGGTCAATGTGTCATCACATAACATACTGCAGTCAACACAATACACTTAACTTAACTTATGGTATCAACACATAATGTATTATTGGCAAAATTAATTGTGTCAGCACATTTCACTGTACAGACTCCTCTCACACACTTGTTGTTGTAGAAACTCCTGGTGCATGAATGATATCTACAGTATATTGCTTAATTCAAAATACTCAAAATAAAAATCTTTCCTTTCAACTATTTTCTGGTCTTGCACACTGCAGTTACTCAAGTTTGAACTTTTTAACCAACAAAAAACAGAAGAAAGTCCATCATTTATTTAAATCACTATGCAGACGATTAAATTGCAGCCCACATGACAGCTATAATTAATGTGTTTTCATTTTTGGCTAATGAAACTTGCATCAAAACAAATGTCAACATACACACCATGTGCATGTGCTTTGCTAATATGTTAGGATGGTTGTTTTTAAATTTCCAGGAGGAACCAAGTGTGCCCACTAGATTTGTATAATACACACTCTGAAGTAGTATTTATGTTTACATTTTGTCTGCATGGCTGGCTGACTGCCAAGTTTTCCTTCCAAGCCATCCAGCCACAGACTTTTTTTTCATAAAATCAGGTCAGTCTAGCTGTTATTGACATCAGGTATGTTTCTGAGCTCCTTTTCATAGGTTTACAGACTTTCTCTTGTTACATCAAATATAAATTCACATCAGTACTCTTATATTCCCGGGCAGGGATAAGAAATCATAAGGTGATTGGATCCTGATTTGGTGTCTACTGTAAAATAATGAATTCAGTGGGGTTTTATTTTCACTGATTTCACAGGAACTTTTAATCAAGGAATTTATGTGTCCATGAAATAATAAAATATAGTTATGACTGCATATTAACTTCTCATCGGTGGATTTTTTGAGTTTACTATTCATACTCAAAATCAAATTCAACAAAAATGTATTTTAAGAAAAAAAACATGAAATTTCAGCCCCACAAAATCCCTGATTTTATCATAGATAAAGGTTTCAAATTAGAAGGGGACTTATCCTAAATATTGACTGCATAGTGGGTAGGACAGATGGAACTTAGGAAGGAGGTTGTGATGGTTATCCACACCATAGGGGTTAAAAACATCTATGGGATAAGGGACTTTTTTAACTGCAGGCATATAATAGGGAATGAGAGCTGACATAGCCAGAAGATGATTGGAGGTAATCCAAGTAAAAAAAAGAAAAAACAATCACAGAGGGAAACTTTCGTTAACTTAATTAGATGGAGGATGGAGTTATGGTGAATATAGGTTAAACTAAGCACTTTTACAGGTGGCAGTAAGGGTGAGGGAGGATCACTGGTCTCATAATTAGCTGACTGTTGGTGTACAAGGTGTAGTTCATGTACACCCACAATTTATCTTGGAATAGTTTATGTCAGAAAGTTGGAATTTTGATAGTAATGTCGCTTTACTTCAAGATATTTAACTTTTATCAACATGTAATCTTTTAACTTCCATCAAGATTTTCTTTTTAAAATTCATCCCCATTATTTAGTTAACAAATTTTTCCCATATCCTCAGTCCGAGGTGACACTATCATTTATTTGCTGTAGACATGTTTGTCTTGTCTTCTGTATTTTTCTGCTTTCTATAGATATTAAACCATCAAACTCAACAATTTTGTCATCTTTTGACCACCATACTCCAGTGACGTAAGCGATAGTGTGATTTTACCCTGGGACTAAATTCATGAATAATTTATATACAATTTTTTAACATCTAGAACATTATATTCTTATATCTTAGGACATTTATTGAAATTGAAGATAATACTAAAAGATAACTCATTATCTTAGCCTGTACAGATGTTTCACACTTTAACAGCTGTGTGTGAGTTCCTTGTCTCACTCTTTTGGATGGAGACATGGGTGAGATGGGACGGAGGTTCCCCTTGCCTACATCTATTTTCAGTGTCTATCAACTTTCAATAAAAGATTATTATGTTAATGCTAAGCAATTAAACTCTGCTTCCCAATTAAAGATCTCCCAAGATCCTCTTTTCTCATTCCTAAACGTTGTAATAGGGATGGTAGAGGTAGGGAGGTGAAGGTGAACTGAATAACCTCTAACATGTGTATTAAGGATATGTGGGGATGTTGATTAAACTCTATTCAGTAAACTGAAAAATAGGAAATAACATTGCACAGTATCCCAGTGAAGAATATTTAAGGCTATGCAAAGCATCTACTTTGTCCATGAAGGGGCCTGTAGTTGCTAACACATTGTATCTATATAGACATACCTGGTTGTATGCAGTAACGTAACATGTGCATGCAAGTCTATGCATACTACTTGCACCTCCAAGAAAAATTCCTGTGATTTTTGTGGAATGGATATCTGTGCTAGCATGCCAAGGGTGTTCACATACTATTGATAACTTGAGTGTATGATATTAGATACAAGACCAAAATAAACTACCAGTTGAGTGTTTCTTCCAGCATTCAGGTGGTATATATACATAGCACTGCAGAAAACTGATAAAACAATTAGCAAAAGATGTATATGTGTACATCCAGTTTTGTGATTTCCTCGGTTAAATAGCAAAGGACATCAGATTTGGTTCTTTAAAGATTGTTTGCAGTCTTATGATTTTATATGAATTTAAAATTCAAGCAGGTCATTTGCATTTTTGCTGACAGTTACCAGTATTGCCTTGTTTTTTAGTATTCTTCAAAGGGTTAGGAATGTTATGGGTAAATAATTATGTCCCCCGAGACACATCCAGACACTGAGTTAATATTAAAATCAAACCACACATCTGGGAACCTCTCATCTTACTGAGCAATTGCTGTGGCTTTACCAATATTAAATGAAGTAAATAAGTCAAAACATGCACCAAAGAATTTTCAAACATTTTCTGAAAGGAAAATTGATATCTTCAACATAAGTCAATTAGAGTGTTGAAGTATTAGGTAAAGTACAGTGTAGTCATAATGTTTACAAACAGGACCCTTTTCTTTTGCAAAAAGATTGATATATATCATAAATAACAAATAAATTGTGTTTATTTGGGTTAACGTGCATTCTGATGACTTGTTTTGGCATACAGATGTGTGTATATATTAATCACGACTGACTAGGTCACCAGTCATTATGATAAAGTCAGCGATAATGTCAGGTGTCAAGGTCAGAGAGGTGCTTTCCTTTGTTTTGTTTTGATGGAGTTGCTGCATAACATCCGCTTATTGAAATTTGAAACGACACTTAGCCATGAATTTTTTTGTAAACAAGTTTCATACAGGTATATAATATAATGCTCCATATACGTTAAAATTTCAGTGATAGGCTAGCTAACATCTCTATATACATGTGAAATACATCCGTTTCAAAATGTGTTCATTACTAAAAGCAATTTGTAAAACAAACAATTGGTGAAATGTGCTGATGAAAAATGTTTCAAATGATGCAATGATATTGAGAAAATGTCTGTATGCATATGACTTTAGTTAAACATCAACATGAGTAAGGTTTTATCATTACATTTTTAGATCCTCAATAATTCTGTCATTAATTCTGTGGACGTGAAACATGAGTATCTTCACAAATTTCCCTTCCTCCAAAGGGTTAGATAAAGGGATCTCAAGGTCAAGATTTGTTGGCTGGTGTTTGTAAATTTGTGTATGCTATCAATAATCTTTCCCTTAGGGTTGAAGTCCCCATATACTTAGTCTCATAGAGGTAAATGATTAGTTTTCTTTACCCATCTGGGTTCCATGTACATGTAAGGCCTTTTTATGGGAGTTATATAGCATCAGATATGGGCCCCATTCCCAACTAGATCAATTAAATAATATTGCTAAATTCCCATAATATATAGTTTACTCCTTAAAGATTTCTTTAAAATTCATCAATTTTTTCCTCTAAAAAGGACCTTACTGAAATGAATGAAAAAAGCACTTGATATAATCATGTTATCTCAGTACATGGCAAAGTTGATGTGCTCGTATCGAATTGGTGACTTGACATCTTTTTTTCACCTGAACTTCTGTTTCATGCAATATTGTTTAAGGTGGATGCTCCACTCTCTCATATATCCTAAGGGCAAGACGTGAGAATCTCTATTCAGTAAAAGTGCACAGTCCTTTATAACACAAAATTATATCACTCAGAATTTACAGCAAATGAAAGAAATAATTAGCTTTACTTTAATGATACTTTATTTGGATAGCGCTTTATAAAACAGCTCAAGTATGTAAAATGTTTACTTCAGTCGATTATTCAAACAATACTATGATCCTTACAGGATTTGGTTCAGACTTCCACTGTGCATATCTAGCCTAAGAGTTTTTATAATGTTCAGATAACAAAGATCCACACATCACAAAGTATTACATCATATGTTATACAATATTTGATGAGGTCTAAGTTTTGATGGGTGATCTTCAAAACATCCTGTTGACAGTATTTCTTGTTTAAACAAAATATCTGGTGCAATTTTCCATATTTGAAAGGCATTTGATCAAACCTAATTTTTTTTTTAACTTTTTAGTCATGGCAAATATGGATCAAATCCTATTTAAACCAAAAAGTAGTTAATGGTTTAGCAAGGACACATATGCCATCATGAAGACTTTTGCATTTCTGACTATCAAATGGTCATAAATGATTAAAGGGGATGTAGATTCCAACAATGATATCACTTTTATGAGAGCCTCATGCCATATGGGACTTGAATCTGGTTCAAATGTCATAAAGAGCCCCAGGCTTGTTTTAGTTTCCAGGTGTACATGTGCAATTTTAAGACCGATTGAATCACCAACAGGACTACCAGGTGCCATGATTTTGAATTAAGGAAGTGTAAAGTCTTAATATAAGTGGTTTTTCATTTTCAGATGAAGGTCACTCTTTGTTTTTGTGTGTATTTTGATACTAGAACATGTTTAATGAAAAAACATCTAAGGATCCTGTTAGATTTTAGCATCTGAATTTTGTCGTTTTCTTTCTCTTTTTTTTTTTTAAGAAAACTAGTACAACAAACTGCATGCAGGGAACTATATCAAATTTCAAAAGCAGTTCCTGTTAGAGATGAATTTCATAGTAATGAAGAATTGAGATAAAGATGCTTCCAAGTTTGCTATCTTAGATTTCGACATTATATACATGTCAACATTCTCACTTAGTTTTAAAAGTGAAAATCAAATATTGATTTCATAAATATAATGAAATTCAAATGTATTATAAGTGTAATTTCAAGAAAATAGGTTCAGGTTTTTTAATGAAAAACATATTTACATCTAAATTATTTTTCAAAAAGTGCTTGAAAGGTCTTTCTCATACTCAACACCTGACAAGTAGGTTCCTGTATTCCATATCCTCAGTATGCATATATTATATATGATAGACTGTTATTATTATATAGATGTCATATGTAGACAATATAAACCATTACATTTTGACAAATTGCTCTCTTAGGTTCATTTATTCCCTTTTTCTACACAGTAACTTGAATTTCATTAGAGCTAGCTCTCAAACTAGGCCAGATGAGGTCTATCTCATTTGCTAAAGAGGTACTTCTGTGCTGTCTGTCATGGCTAGCACAGCAAAGCAAGCAGTAGATGTGACCAGAAACCAAAAATCTAGGCATGATTAAAGCTGAATATTGCAAGAAAATATCTCCACAGCGATATTTGTAGTGTATGAACTAGTTTGTCCTATTCTGAATTATGACCATGTTACAAAATCTTATGACATACTAGGAAACTACAGTGACGTCATGGATAAATGATGTCACATGATGTTTGGAACCAGCTGAGTTGAGCATTTTCTGACTTAATCCATAAGGGGAATCAACAGAGGAATAAAAATTAATGATGAATAGAATCTTATAATTATGTATGAATTAGTGATGAATAGAATCTTATACTAATGTATGAATTTGTGATGAATAGAATCTTATACTAATGCATGAATTAGTGATGAATAGAATCTCATACTAACATATGAATTAGTGATTAGTTTTATGCTAATGTCATATATGTATATGACTTTCATTTAGTCAGCAAATGTGAAGTAGATATCTTTCATATTTTCCAGGGAAATCTGAAGCAAAGCCATTTCGTGGTCCTTACAGTGCATGACTTAGGATGCAACCGTGAGTTAATAATTGCTTTATCAGTTTCCTTGATAATCCATCCATATTATGGTTTCAAAGTCCTATTTTATCTTCGTGTTAAAAACCATCCGATTCACAATAATTATCACCCCTGATATAGATATCAAGTCCCATATTCAGCTCTCTGCAATAATGTAACTACTAGCTGATTTACAATAATTATCGTCCCCTGATGTGGATATTGGGCCACAGATATCAGGCCATCAGCCCCATATTATCTACCACAATCCTGTTTACATTAATTATCTTCCCTGGTGTAGATATCAGGCCACAAGTCGGCCTTATATTATCTACCACGATCCTGTTTACATTAATTATCTCCTCTGATGTAGATATCAGACCACAAGTCAGCTCTATATTATCTACCACAATTATGTTTACATTAATTATCTCCTCTGATGTAATTATCGGCCACATGTCAGCTCTGTATTATCTACCACAATTATGTTTACATTAATTTTCTCCTCTGATGTAATTATCGGCCACATGTCAGCTCTGTATTATCTACCACAATTATGTTTACATTAATTATCTCCTCTGATGTAGATATCAGGCCATTGTCAGCTCTATATTATCTACCACAATTATGTTTACATTAATTATCTCCTCTGATGTAATTATCGACCACATGTCAGCTCTGTATTATGTGCCATAATCCTGTTTACATTAATTTTCTCCCCTGACGTAAATATCAGACCACAAGTCCGCTTCATATTATCTAACACGGTCCTGTTTACATTAATTATCTCCCCTGATGTAGATATCAGGCCACTGTCAGCTCTGGTTTATGTGTCATGATCCTGTTTATGTTAATTATCTCCCCTGATGTAGATATCGGGCCGCAAGTCAGCTCCATATTATCTGATAGGATAATGTTTACATTAATTATCTGATTAATTGTCTCCCCTGATGTAGATATCAGGCCACTGTCAGCTCTGGTTTATGTGCCATGATCCTGTTTACGTTAATTATCTCCCCTGATGTAGATATCAGGCCGCGAGTTAGCTCTATATTATCTATCACAATCCTGTTTACATTGATGATCATGATGTTGATTGTTTCCCACTGATTTTGTCCCCAGATTTAGACAACAGTACATTTTACTTCATTTCATAACACGAAACACCAATGAAACCTTGTGTTCCCCTCGATTTCAACACCCGAGTTCTCATCACCTTTAAGCCGAGTAAAGTACCGAAATCCATCACTTCTGTTATCTCTCCTATTATCAGCATATTAATACTGTCTTGTTATATATGATCTTCTGACACCCCCAATTCATATCTCTGATCTGACTGCTTCACTATTTGCTTTGATCATTTTCCTCTGAAGATGAGTCTAGGATCCAGGCTTTCTCTTTGCTGTTAGGGCTTTTTTCACCACTTTGGGAATGGGGCCCGTGGCTTTGAATTTGGGGGAAAATATGTCAAGTAAAATACCTAAATTAGCTCTGTTATTGGAAAAAACTTTCTGTGTTTTCAACTTATTTCATTGATTGGGAATTTGTTCCAGAGGGGAAAACATACCACTTGAGGAATACTACCTTTTTCCTGTAGTAAAATTTGTCTAGGTTAATCCCTGTCTTGTCAGTAACTTTTGGTGAGGTAGATTTAATTTGTAGCATATAACATGTAACCTTTGCTGAATTGACCAATGGTCTTAGTTTTTAATTTTGGTGTAAAAAAGATGATACTTAATTGACTCATGGCTTTGGTCTACAGATACGATGTGGAAGGGCTTCCTGGCCCACAATTCTATGGAGGAAGTGGTTCGGCGTGCAGCATTCATCCACATTGATGTCCCAGGCCAGGAGGATGATGCAGCCAATCTTCCAGAAGAGTAAGTTTGGGACACAGCACCAAAAATTCCCTGGTTTTTTTTTGTGAAACACAAATGTTTTATTTTGTATTGTTAAGTTTGTGTTGTGTCATTCCATAATATTCTGTGACTTTGTGTCCCAATATAAATTATCCTGTCATTGTCTTTCAGTCAGAATGAACCATGTTACATCATATATATAATATTATGAAAAGAAAGCTGAGGGTTGCATTTTGTGAAACAGACGAAGAATGAATCATTCATTTTTTGTCTGTTTCACAAAATGCAATCCTGTTTCATTTTTGAATTTCCGTCACACAAAAATTTATTTGGATTCTGAAGGAATTTAGAATTTATTTAGAAGACTTAAACTGGAAATTTCTTTGTCTTAAAGAAAAGGTACATGGTCATTTTAAAAAAAAGGTTGATTTCTGGCCAATGTAATACATTTGATATCAAGTCATGTTTGTTCTTTTTCAGATAAAACATAGATGATACATATATAAGACTAATGAAATTGATTTCCAAGAGAATATGTGATTGTTTCCTGACACATTAATGTTATGTATTTCTCATTACATAAAAAGACTAGACACATTTTCTTGCAATTTCCAGGGAAATTCTGTTATACCTATATAGCATATAAAGGATGCTGAAGAGGTGACATACAAAAATAGCTTTAAGGTAGCTTTGCCTTCTAAATCTCATCTCAAGACTTTTTGTACCGGAGTTCTGCTTGAAATGCAGGACGACACCTGGGGCAAATCTTTGCTGTGATAAAATCAATATCTATTTGGCATCATTGCAATATGTTGGTGTTCCAATCAAGCTGCAATTTTGTGACCCACTGCATTTTATCAGTAGATACAGCTTTTTTCCATATACAGAGAGTTTGTTTGGGAATCAAATTTTCCAGATCGCATTAAAAGAAAATACGTTTTTATTTCGAGAACCTTAACTACTGAATATCACTAAAAATCTGAGTAACTTCAAATGGTATTTAAATAATAGTACTTCAAGCCCAAAGGTTACCTACATGTATGACTCATTTGGTTAAGAAATTACCTTGACATTCAACAAATCGGTTAACGTTGTATTAAAACATGCAGGCTGTCCTTTATAAGTCATACCTGTTGTCATTAAAAAAAAAGTTGTCAAGACAGTTTTTAGGAGCTTTGAAATCCAACACAACACATTAATCAATTCGAGGTCGTTGCCTGGAGTGATATTCATGTTCCGTGCAATGTGACCAAGCACTGAGTCAGAGGTAGGAATAGATAGTGTAGTGTTCATTTCCTTGTAATCAGATTTACCTGTATGGCATAATAATAAACATGCAGGATGCAAATGGCACAGTCATTTGTTATGTAATATGTAGCTGTTTAATTCAATATTTTTTACAACATTTATCTTGAGCTAGTTGCCTGATTATTTTAGAAGCATATTGAATACTTAATGTGTATCAAAGTGCATCTCAAGCTCTAGGTAATTGTTTATTTTCTATAAATATCTCATAAATGATTGATTTTTTTTCTTAATTTGGGTGTTTACAGACAGAGCTTTATATAATGATTAATCCAATGTGTCATTACACTCACTGAGGACTTGGTCTAAGTAATTATGTACCAAGAGACTATTGTCATCTGTTGGTTTCATCATTCTGGCCACCACAGGACATATGGTTGACAATAGTCGAGAAAGAGCACATAATATTTCAGTATTGGAATCACTTTAAGCATTTTATGTTTTCCCACAGGGACTGTAATAGCTCAGTTGGTCAAGTATTAGTCTAAGCATGCAACCCTGGGTTAAGATCTAGGGTGCATGGTTAGATGCTCCTACCTGTAGCGATATATTTTACAGGAAGCTTAGAAATGGACCAGTCTATGCTGTGATATTGTATCCTTGAGCAAAACAATAACTATTATTTCAAATTGCTCTAGATGGCCTACACCGGGCCTCCCATATCTTCTTCAGTACGGTAGTTAGTACAAAGAGACTTGGTCTCAATATGACACTGTCAGGCCATTAAACCCAGCAAACGAACAGTGATGCTTTTTCTGGTTGATATTTTGCCTGAAGCTATTAATGTCAATTAAATATGTCAATGTGGGTTGACAGTTATTCATCAATATGGACTCCAGATGACCATCTGAGGATGTCCTGGGGTTGACACACAATTTTCTAACACAGCAGTGATATAAGCTTCTCGGCAATAGTTTTACCATGTCTCTGAGGGGACTAGATCTTAACACTTCATAAGAATGCCAGAGTATTTATTCATGGATATGAAAGAGAAATAAGAAAAATAGTGTTTGTACAACAAAGGAATGTATTTGTTGTAATCATGAATAGTGTTGGAGTTTTTGTGTGCTTTCGTGTCTGTATGACAGTGCCTGACAAGTTTGGCTAAGCCTTGCATTGTGAGCCTAACACTGTTCATATTCTTTATTTCTTGCTGGGATGAGAGTCTGCTTCTTTGTCAGCTTTCAATGTTATCGATCAGAACCTAGCGTATCTATGCAGTAAATGTCGTTACACTGCTATGAGGCTATTTTTGGTCACCATGGACACTAGTTGTTCTAATTCTGTGGACATTATAGATGTTTAAGGGTTTTCTATATGTATATAAATATATATCACAGCACAAAATAACTAGGGATGTGGCAGGACAATGTTAGTAATTGATTTGTGTCTCTTAAACTATGAAAACTACTCAGAAATACTTAAGATCTTTTGTCCAATGTTTTATGATAAAGCAAAATAATGACTAAGACTGGATGTGATTGTGGAAAGATTTAAGTAGGGTCAGCTTTGAAGTCATATATGCTTTATCAAAGCTATTGTCCTTAACACAGATGTTACACAGAAACCTTTCTGTGCTAGAATCAATGAAGATTTAAAACACAGAGCTTTTGTCTGGTCTAATTCTGTAACCTCCTCGTGTCGTGTCCTCGTTGACATTGCTATGTGAAAATTGTGTTCTCTGATCTTAGCGTTTGATGGACTTTTTGTTGTTAGTCACACCAAAAAAACAAAAAAAAATTCATCTGGATTTGAAAAATAAAAATTTGAAAAATGTGCACTTTTTCCAACCAAGCAACAAGAAGGATACTGAAATGTGGCATTTCAATTTCATGGAATTCAAGTTTTCCATATATTCTTGCCTTAGAATAGATTGAATAGTTTGTACTTACCTGATCTAGATGATACCTTAATAATGTCAGGAGCCCTATTTATTTTATGCATCCAGATAAGATAAAAATATTGATACCAGATTTGCAGCAATAGAAACAAAAGAGGTACATATGTTATTACTGAGATTACATTGAAATTCAAAGGCCGCTTTGGTCTGATGAGCACATTAAACCCATTTAGCCTTGCATCTTTCATGTTGACATAACTATTTTTAGAAGTTAAGCAAGACTTCAAACTTCCAACATTAGGTTGGTGTTTCTCCCTATAATTTGTGTTTGGGAGATGTTAATTGTAAGTTGTGTGCTTGCTATTTCCGGTCTGTTTTGGCAAGTGATAGTTTAAACTGATCACCATAGCTCACTCTTGATTAGAGAAGTGTCAATCAATAGATTTTCCATGTCATCACCTTCAGTTTATTATCTTCAAATTTTCTAATGCTTGTTTCCTAATTTTTCTTTTAAAAGAGTTTTTCGATATTGAGTTTTGTTGGCTCAATTTTTTCTAAATCAGTTTCTGATATTTTACAAACCAGTTGATAAATATTACAACCAGTTGTCCTAAGAAGAAACATGAAAGGTAGAAAAGATAATCCAGAACCAGCATGTCCACTACCAAAGGTCACAACATATTGACTGATCATGCTCTTTGTTTTGACAGTATTTCTAACTATCAGCTGGGTTAGTTAGTTTCTATGAGGTCCTCAAGCAGTTGGCCTAGTGATAATGTCATTTTTTCATTGTAATGTAGCATTTTCTGGTTGGCTTATCATCAGTTTTTTATAGTTACCTTCTTGAACAGTCTGCCTTTAAAAGCTGATGGTCTTGATACTTCATTGAAATAAATGTTTTAACTGTGATATATTTGGAAAATGTGCAGATATAGAATTATTGTTTGCAAGGTTTTATACAGTAAGGGCAATATTAGCACCTTGACTTAAACCTTATACATAGGCAGAATTGCAGTGCAATCATTGTTTTCCGATTTCAACATAATCTAGGAATAATTTGATTTAGTGAAGTGAAGTGGTATAAATATTTAGTTACATGATGTGCCATTTTAGGTGCCACAGTAGCTGACCGAAGCTGAGTACCCAGGAGATGTGGAAAGATTGATCATTGTGTTAATGGTTATTTTTTTCATGTCTCAGCTTATGGCATGGTCAAGGTTTTACTTTGTTGGAAAAGAGCAATTTCTGAATTAGGCTTGTTCAGGCATCTCTTCAATTGCTCGACCTCCCAAAACAATAATTGTTTTCGGAACAGTGTCCTTATGAGAGTTCCATCTTTAGAGCTGGATGTGAACACATCATTAGATAATGATTATCATTATCAATACATAAGAATAATTGCACATTGGCCATTTACAATATGTATACTTTCATGTTGCAGATATATATTGATTGGCTCCCTGTGTACTCTAAAAGGACATTATTGTTAACATACTTTTACTATCAATTAATCAAATGATTTTTATGTTTGTAAAACGCTACAAAACTATTAAGTAAAAAATGGCTTCTGTAATTGATACCCTGTTATATGCAGATGCACACTGCTGTTTTAAACATCATGTAAATGTGATTATAAACTGAATTTATTCTTGCAATAAGCTTTAATGTATTGACTGGAGTTTGGCGTTTACTAGCAACAGCAATACTTCCCAGTCCTGCCAGACACAGTGTATTATTAGACTTGATTTGGACACTGTGACATGTTATAGCTGTCTTAGCTTACCACTAACATGAATACTTTGTCTGGATCAATACAACATCTCCAGCAGATCAGTTTCACTACATAACCCTCTATAGGACCATTAGCAAACCACAG